GGATTGCTTTCTAGTTACTGATAGATTTCAGCTGGTGTCTTCGCTTTCCATTTTTTGCACCTCCCTTTCTTCATGTGTTCAATACTTTTCCCCTGTGTCGATCCATTTTATTGCACATAACTTAATTTCTGAACTTGTTTTGGTTTCTTTGTATGTACGGTTTACATAGCTTGTTACCGACGTGGTTAAAATTTCATGTCAATAGCACCTTTAGAAATATATTTACAGAGAAAAATGGTGACACGTTCAATACTTATTTTACCCAGTGTGTGTGTGTGTGTGTCTGTCTGTCTCATGCATTTACAAATGGCAAATACAAGCAAGATTTAAAAAAAAATAGGACCTATTAAAAAATATTAATTTATGGCAAGTAAATATTTTTCACAGGCATATCATATCATTCTCTTTCAATATGGAAGTGATAGCTTTTACCTGCTGGCTGACTAGAGGACACTGAACCACGATAGAAGGCAGATCCATCTCTTGCTATAGTCCATACCTGATGTCCTCCTCCCACAGACACAGAAACGAAGGGTTGGTCTGTGCCAACATGGAGCCAAGAAGAGCCCTATCAGGACATATGAAAAGTCAAAAAGTGTTTACGTTTTTTTGAATGGTGAGATTAAAACTTTTTGGCGCTATATAAATACTGTATAATAATAATAACACAAGTACTCTCAGCCATTGTGGCTGACAGCTTGTAGTTCTTAAAGTGGTTCTAAAGGCTCAAGGTTCTTTTTACTTTCATGTGTTTTATTAGCAGTATTAGCTCAGCTGGCTAATACTCAACATTAACGGTCAGGCTGAATCCACACTATAAAATGGACAGCTGCTGGAGTGCTTTAACAGTCACGATTCACGAACAGGTTTTTAGAACACATGTACAGTGGGGATCGAAAGTTTGGGCACCCCAGCTAAAAGTTTGCATTAATGCCTGCATAAAGAAGTCAAGGAAAGATGGTAAGGTGTCTCCAAAAGGCGTTCAAATTACAGATTAGACATTCTTATAATATGTCAACAAAAGTTAGATATTTATTATCATCATTTACACTTTCAAAATAACAGAAAACAAAAAAATGGCGTCTGCAAAAGTTTGGGCACCCTGCAGAATTTTATAGTATGCACTGCCCCCCTTTGCTTTGAGACCTGCCAGTGTCATGGATTGTTCTCATTCATCAATGGGAAGATCAGGTGATGTCAATCTCAAAGGTTTTAAATGCCCAGACTGTTTGACCTTGCCCCAACAATCACTGCCAGGGTAGTTCTTCTAAGCAGTTGTCTAGAAAACCGAAACTGAAAATAGTTGACGCTCACAAAGCTGGAGAAGGCTATAAAAAGATAGCAAAAGCGTTTTCAGATGTCAATATCCTCTGTTCGGAATCTAATTAAGAAATGGCAGTCATCAGGAACAGTGGAAGTTTAAAGCAAGATCTGGAAGACCAAGAAAAATATCAGACAGAACAGCTCGCAGGATTGTGAGAAAAAACAATTCAAACCCACGTTTGACTGCACGATCCCTCCAGAAAGATCTGGCAGACACTGGAGTTGTTGGTACACTATTTCACTAGAAAGAGATACTTGTACAAAATGGTCTTCATGGAAGAGTCATCAGAAGAAAACCTCTTGTTTACGTCCTCACCACAAAAATCATCGTTTGAACTTTGCAAATGAACATATAGACCCTGATGCATTTTGGAAACAAATTCTGTGGACCGATGAGGTTAAAATTGAACTTTTTGGCCGGAATGAGCAAAGGTACGTTTGGAGAAGAAGGGGCACAGAATTTAATGAAAAGAACCCCTGTCCAACTGTTAAGCATGGGGTTGGATCAATCATGCTTTGGGGTTGTGTTGCAGCCAGTGGCACAGGGAACATCTCACGAGTAGAAGGAAAAATGTATTCAATAAAATTTCAGAAAATGTTGGATGGTAACTTGATGCCATCTGTGAAAAAAGCTGAAGGTAAAGAGAGGTGGCTTCTACAAATGGATAATGATCCTAAACACACCTCAAAATCCACGGGGATGATTACAATCAAGAGGCGTAAACTGAAGGTTTTGCCATGGCCTTCACAATCTCCTGACCTCAACATAATTGAAAATCTATGGATAGACCTTAAAAGAGCAGTCTGTCACAGACAGCCCAGAAATCTCAAAGAACTGGAAGACTTTTGTAAGGAAGAATGGCAAAGATACCTCAAACAAGAATTGAAAGACTCTTGGCTGGCTACAAAAAGCATTTACAAGCTGTGATACTTGCCAAAGGGGGCAGTACAAGATATTAACTCTGCAGGGTGCCCAAACTTTTGCAGATGCCATTTTTTTGTTTTCTGTTATTTTGAAAGTGTAAATGATGGAAATAAAAATCTAACTTTTGTTGACATATTATAAGAATGTCTAATCTGTAATTTGATGCCTTTTGGAGATTTTTCCATCTTTCCTTGGCTTCTTTATGCACATTAATACAAATTTTTAGCTGGGGTGCCCAAACTTTCGATCCCCACTGTACATGAGCCCCTGAGCCCATTCAACTTTAATTCCAGCACCCCTAGGATGCCTGCACACAGCCTCCCTGACAGAATTGGTTGTGTATCAGGTGTGCTCTGGGTATTCCACTTGCTATTGAAGGCACAAGTACAGCGTATGAAAAAAATATCTCTGTTATCAGACTTGTAATTTGTCTAGTTAGTATTGTGATTTACACATAATTGCCATATTGTACAGTAAAGACATTTTATTGTAGTGCATAAATACCTACAACACCTTTCCACCTACTGCTAGCTCATTGAACAATAGATCAGCACAATCATCACTGTCCATTTTAGAAGGGAGATGTTTCAGGAAAGAGCAAATTACTGCCAGGTAGTAGTGCCTGACTCTGCAGAGTGGCAAATATGTGAACATAACTGGCTCACCAGCATTACAAGTATTTTCGTAAGGGAAAAAAAGGTAAAGTTACCAAAAAACATTTTACTTATACATTTTGAAACTGCTTATTTAATTTTTTTTCTCAGACTTTTTAAAAACACTAAGCTACTGCCTCAAAATTAGACACAGCTCATGCCAGTCTGCCATGAGTGCTTTTTCATTTGTAAGCCAGCCTAACTGATAGACCTGAGAGTAAGCCCAATGGCCCAGTGTAGGATTGCACACAGCAGGGCAACAACTCTGCTGTTTTTTTGTGAGGCAGTGGCTTAATGTTGTCCGCTTGCAACAGAAAAGGCTGTTATTGGTAAGAAAAAAGTCACAACAATGTCACAAAAAATATTTGTTTAAACAAACTTTACATAGTGAGACATGATGCCATACACATTAACCCCTTCCCGCCTGCCCTGGCATCCCCTTTAAAGTTCCTAATGATCTGAGGCGGGAAGAATCGGCGATCATGAGACCACTGTGATTGGCTGCCACTGTGGTCACATGATCGGAAACCAGTTCGGGACAGTTACTAATGTCTTTTCAGGACTCAGCTCAGCGTGCTCCCAGCACATAGTAACATTGCCCACCCACGTCACTTCCGGTCATGTGGTGACGCACATCCAGACGCAGCGGCCCTATTGGTTTCCCCTGGTTTCATGCAATACACCCATGGGATGGGGAAACCGCTGATGTGACAAGTAAACTATATGTGAGTGTAATTTTTGCTTTCCTTGCTGGCTTTATTAAACCTATTACACTATGGAAGCATCTCTCTTGTGTCTTGTATATTACTGAGTGGAGGTGGAGTGGAACAGAGAAGTCTTCAATCCCCCTTGTGACACCTGGATGGGCTATCCATATACAAGGACCTGATACAGAGGAGAGTAATAGCTTTTTGGCCCTGTGCGGGTCAGTGTGGGAGGTGAGCAGGCACTGCTGCCATTTGAGGATTTGTGCACTAGAAGTGAAGATCACTTTCTCACGAAGTTTTCACTTTGCATGGACTTTGCTTTATTCTTATTTTTGATTATTCACAGATGGTGGTTTTATATTTATGTGATGCACAGTTATAGGAGAGGAATTTTGTGATTGAATCCGATATATATATACACATGGTATTTTTATCATTTTCATTCCACTTTTGTTCAAAATTCACATTGATGTGTATTTTCATTTCACTTTCAGATTGTTCAATTAGCCCTGAAGTATATATATATATATGAGCTTTTTTTCACGGAGCACCAATTGAATGGCATAATAGGCACTGTAGTATTTAATTTTGATAATAATAGCGCTTCACTAATTTTTGTTAAATATTGATCACTTATTGGTTTAGTCGAGTGACAGCAGCTACCATATAGGGATAGTATAGGGAAATCTTTTTATATAAAGCGCAGGAGGATACTTCCATTTAATATTGCCCACCCAGTGGTGCATATGTGTGGTATGTGGGCGATAAAGTCCAGCTTGTTGCTACAGCACATTTGGGTTGCTGTGGAGTAAAGGGGTTAATAAAGTTTTTGGCTTTACATATTCTTTAAAGAAAACCTTTATGAGATACATAACAGAGGTCATTGGTGACGCCTGCTTTTGAAAATACTAGCTGCCTTGCTGCGATGGTCTTGATCATTTAAAAAGTGGCAGTATAGCTGCAAGAAAAAAATGCTCTGTGAAAGGTTTTCAAACTCACACCAGCTCTCCTCAATCATAAGGCTCCTCCACCCTGTGGTCTGATTTAAATGACTGGGATGGGCCATGGTGTGCATAGCGAAGACTAATGTAATGGAAAGTGGAGGGATATCCATACTACCATGAAAATGACTCCCTTTCAGTCATTGACACAGAACAATTATGAAGATAAAGATATCGAACTTCACCCTGGCTTTCATGGTCCACATACTTACTCCAGGTCAGTGGCACAGAGCATACTGTAGTTATTGGCTAAGCTTAACAGCCAGACATCTAGCATATTCAGAAGAGTGACCAGAGGAAGTAGTTCCTCTCATGATGGTTTTCATTTAACATTTCTGTTGAAGACATTACTGTGAAACCCAGACTGTGTATAACTAGACAGCGATCTTACAGCAGGATTCTGTTTAGTGGCACCAATTCGACACAAGACATCCCCCTTGTTGCTGATGGCCCAGACAGAAATGTGTTCGTCATCTTTCGCTCCTCTGCTTGGACATATAGAGACATCCCGCAAGGAGATAGGAGGGACTTCTTGCCATGGCCCGCTTGTCACGATTTTACATTTTCTACACAAAAGCAGATATAAGTCTAAACCTCAATTCCAACACAGTATAATTAGCTAGAAAGCAGAAAGCACTGGTTTTGGTATTAGGAAAGGCTCAGCCCATAGACAGTCTGTATTATCTAAGGTGCAAACATGGTTACCCCCCCCCCCCCCCCCCATACATATTTATAACTACACCTGTTGTCTGAAATCTGCACCTTGATGTGCTGGGATGCTAAAATGAAATCAGATTTCAGATATATACACTAGAAGAATACAAAATACCTGGATGATGCATCATAAACACACATTAAAGTTTGTTTTTTTCATATTTGTCTTATGCTTAGGAGATTAACAGTACTAAACTTCATGGAGCTGTACTTCAAAAGTGCTCCACGGGGACACAGGAATGGAGCTGGCCATACAAAGTATTGAAAGATATCTATTAATTACCCCAACCATGCTAACCAGCATAGATGGAACAATGTCCCCTGTGGGCTTCTGTATTCTGACAGCTAGCACCTGCAGCTTTCAGAGTAAGCAAAAAGTGACTGCATCTGGTTGGATGCAGCCACTGTTTGGTCAACTATTTCTGCTGGCACTGTTCATTTTCTATTCTTTTGGATTGAAGGGGGTCAGGTGGGAAGATGGCGACAGAGCCACTGAAAGCTTGCATTTCGGCCAACTAATTAGGAACTGTACAGCATTCGCTGTGTATGAACAGAACACAGGTACTCAGCAGGCTACACAAAATTCCCTGCCCTTCGTCACTGTTGCTACCTTAAAAAAAATCATGAAAGATTTGCCCAGGTTCGCACTAGTGCAACCTGTCATGCAATTTGACAGTTTCAAATCGCAACCTATTGTCCGCAATGGAAAAGTTCAAATCGGTGCAACTGCCTCCATCAGATTCGCACCGATTTTGAAAGTAGTTCCTGCACTGCTTTTTGCGATTTCAGGTGCAATTTGCACTAACATATGTGCATGAAGTCTCACAGATGTCTTCCAAGTCATGAGACTTTAAAATAGTGTGACTTCAAGTGAAGTTGCATGATTTCAAAGTCGGATCCGGTGTGAACCTGGGATAATGGGGCTGCTATTGCTGACCATTCTGAAATGCTAGTTACCCTGTCAGTCATGCTAACGCTTAAATGGTCACTGAGACATTGACCTATAATAAGTATAGAGATAAGGCATTATGGCATTCATTAAAAGCATGCTTGTTCCAGGTCAGTGACTCAAATGTATAGTGGTCAGACACAGTCAAGCACGCAGCATTTTCCTAATAAAGCCAGCAATTGCAGCTCCTAATTTTTTCTCATGTCATATTAAAAACATTTCGGGACAGTTCAGATTCACTTTAAGTAGCAATCACACATGCCTGAAGAACCTGCTTAAGAAGCCAACGCCCACCATATGATGTATTGTCATGGTGTTCCATGATTTAGTCCACAAATATAAATCACAACAAGGTACAGAAAAGACTTCATACGTACAAATAGTTCCTGTAGCAGTAGCTGCACAGAAGCTCAGATTGTTCTAAGCAAATAAAGCAAAGTGTTCTACAGAGATTCCTGGAATGGTACAAGATTTGTTTACCTTGCCCAGCGTCTTCTTCTCACAAAATCCTTTATGGTCTTATAGCCATGATAAGAACTGCAAACATATACAAAAACATGTATTCACAATCTGACCTTTCTTTTAGATGTCATATGCTGTCATATATTGAAAGTGTTTATAGTGGTTTTCGCTTCTTCAAGAGATCTTATGCCAATTTCAACAAATGTTTTATACTGTATTGTTAAGCAAGAGACAAAAAAGTTACAGAAGTATAGTTACAAAAACATTTATTTTTGTCAGCTATAACAGGCAAAACAATGAAATCATTTTGGTTATGTTTAGCAGTCAATCTGCAGTCAGCTCTGAAGAACACACATGATTTTGCTTGCTTCAAGTTGCAGGTAGTTTTATGGATAGAGTTAAAGTAGTCAACACTAGCTGCTGGTTAGTTATCAGAATAATGGAGACACAGGGCGGCCGCATTGTTGTTTTACCATTCATTTCATACGCGGCTGTAACAATGGCCATACATTAGTAGACTTTTGTTCGAAAATGTTCCTTTTTAGAACATTCATTCTATATTCTAATTGTTTGTTGGGTTAAACTGATGTTCATTTTTGACTGCAGTGACAGGAAAATTTGAAGGAGCAGGTTGAAATTTTTTACTCAAACAAACTAATTTCTAACAGTGAATGTGGTTTATATTTGGGGTGAAATCCATTTACTCCAAAATCATTTGTTAAAAGCAAACTTTGAAGTATTTTCAACCAAAATTCATCATGTCATTGAAAGTTTGGTAGAGAATTTCTGTACCATTAGTACAAAGAGTTGTTCGAAATCCACTAGTGTATGGCCAGCTTAAAATTGCTGAACAGGATGTTAGGAGTGTAATCGGTTTAGTGCTAGGTGGCTGTTCAGCCTATCTAATCTATCTGAACCTTTTACCTCTTTCTCCAAATTAAAGGACAGCCACCAAACAGTATATAAATTGGCAGCAGGTTCTTCCTTCTATTTCTGTAGATTTTTGAAGAGATATATGTAGATGTGTATGAACAACAACAAGACATCATTCTGACCAACGCTGACAAATCTAAACATCTATTAATACAGTATCTCACAGAAGTGAGTCCACCCCTCACATTTTTGTAAATATATATCTTTTCATGTGACAACACTGAAGAAATGACACTTTGCTACAATGTAAAGTAGTGAGTGTACAGCTTGTATAACAGTGTAAATTTGCTGTCCCCTCAAAATAACTCAACACACAGCCATTAATGTATAAAGCGCTGGCAACAAAAGTGAGTACACCTCTAAGTGAAAATGTCCAAATTGGGCCCAGTGTCAATGTTTTGTGTGGCTACTATTATTTTCCAGCACTGCCTTAACCTTCTTGGGCATGGAGTTCACCAGAGCTTCACAGGTTGCCACTGGAGTCCTCTTCCACTCCTCCATGATGACATCACTGAGTTAGGGGATGTTAGAGATCTTGCACTTCTCCACCTTCTGTTTGAGGATGATGTCTCACAGATGCTCAATAGGGTTTAGGTCAGGAGACATGCTTGGCCAGTCCATCACCTTTACCCTCAGCTTCTTTAGTAAGGCAGATGTAGTCTTGGAGGTGTGTTTGGGGTCATTATGTTGGAATACTGCCTTGTGGCCCAGTCTCCTCCGAAGGGAGGGGATCATGCCCTGCTTCAGTATGCCACAGTACATGTTGGCATTCATAATTCCCTCAATGAACTGTAGCTCCCCAGTGCCGGCAGCACTCATGCAGCCCCTGACCATGACACTCCCACCATCATGCTCGACTGTAGGCAAGACACACTTGTCTTTGTACTCCTCACCTGGTTGCCGCCACACAAGCTTGACACCATCTGAACCAAATCAGTTGATCTTGGTCTCATCAGACCACAGGACATGTTTCCAGTAATCCATGTCCTTAGTCTGCTTGTCTTCAGCAAACTGTTTGCAGGCTTTCTTGTGCATCATCTTTAGAAGAGGCTTCCTTCTGGAACGACAGCCATGCAGACCAATTTGATGCAGTGTGCAGTGTATGGTCTGAGCACTGACAGGCTGACCCTCCACTCCTTCAACCTCTGCAGCAATGCTGGCAGCACTCATACATCTATTTCCCAAAGACAACCTCTGGATAGGACACTGAGCATGTGCACTCAACTCCTTTGGTTGACCATGGCAAGGCCTGTTCTGAGTGGAACCTGTCCTGTTAAACCGCTGTATGGTCTTGGCCACCGTGCTGCAGCTCAGTTTCAATCTTCTTATAGCCTAGGCCATCTTGATGTAGAGCAACAATTCTTTTTTTCAGATCCTCAGAGTTCTTTGCCATGAGGCGCTATGTTGAACCTCCAGTGACCAGTATGAAAAGAGTGAGAGCGATAACACCAAATTTAACACACCTGCTCCCCATTCACACCTGAGACCTTGTAACACTAACGAGTCACATGACACCGGGCAGGGAAAATGGCTAAATGGGCCCAATTTGGAAATTTTCACTTAGAGGTGTACTCACTTTTGTTGCCAGCGGTTTAGACATTAATGGCTGTGTGTTGAGTTATTTTGAGGGGACAGCAAATTTACACTGTTATACAAGCTGTACACTCACTACTTTACATTGCAGCAAAGTGTCATTTCTTCAGTGTTGTCACATGAAAAGATATAATAAAATATTTACAAAAATGTAAAGGGTGTACTCACTTCTGTGAGATACTGTATTTCAGTCAAATAAAATGTTTCCACTCTGGAAATCGAGCAAGATTTTCTTATTACCATCAGGATAAGATATTAAAGGAAAAAAAAAAAATGGTATGTTGAATTTTGTACCACTTGTTGCATAAAGTATCACTGGCGTTCGTAAATTAAAAGCCAGAAACTTAGAAGATCATTGCAGTAATTGTCACTCAACATGGGAATTAATCACCCCTAATTTTTTGACAGTTTTTACATTGTAGAGCATCAGTACCATCTTTTAATGAAGACCAACAGGGTTGAAAAAAAAAAAAAAAAAATAATAATAAATATTACCAGAATCCCCCATCCCCATCGAATCACTCCCGTTGTGCTATTGTGTTCTGACAGCAGGGAGCTTTCCCCATGATCAGAACACACTGATCAGTGTTGCTGGTTATAGGCGGCTGCGCTGATCATTCGGGAAAAATTGACAGGTTGGCTGTACAGAAGTTGATCGGTAGAACGACTTCTGATCAACCTGGATACCCATAAATGGACCAAAATTCATCCAGTCCCTACTGAGACAGCCAAATTTTGATTCATGTGTATGTGATCCGCTTTTAATGTATCTAAATCTGCATCTAACACTCCCCTCCCCCCAAATTGAAAATGCTGCTGTCCAAAGGTGCTCCTGTGAACCTTCATCCGCAATGGGGGCACTTTAATAAAGGAGGTGTGTGACTGGTCAGATCACCAGGTGAAAACAGAGGGAAAAAAAAGTCTAAAAAAAGAAACAAAATGCAGCCACCATATCTAATGACTGATAAACTGCAATATATTACATTTTTGGTTTTGGGTTTTATACCGCCTTAAAAAAAATAAATTTCAGGATGTATTAATGATTTTACAAAGCTGTATTAAAGATTGTCAACCCTCACCTTGTAAAATATCCTATTCAGTTTAAAAAATAAAATGTAAGGCAGACCATTTGTGTATAAATATAATTTAGAGCCAATAGACGGCCACTTTGTTGGTCTAGTTTCGCTGCCTCAAGGGTCGACTGGGAGTCCATTATCCGGGAGCATGTAAGGAACTTCCAATGGAAACATGAGGAGAATGTGAGTTTGTTGCTCTCTTCTTTTACAACTTTTCTGAGCACTTATTAATCAATTGGGAAGTGGTCTGAGGAGCACTGAGTGTTCATCCACGAGAGCCTCTGGATCATACAATCTGCAAATAGTCACACTCATTGTGAAAGGGACATACATGTGCCTCGGTGGAAGGAACACTTGGGTGTTTTACATGTTGAAGAGCACTATTCTATACAGGAGGATTACACAGTGGTGAACACAGTTTTTTTTTTTTCATGGACACGGAGTTTATGTTGGACGTTTATTTAATATTGTTTACCTTATTAGTGCAGCATATAACTTTGGATTTCATTTGTGAATAGATATATAAAACAGACATTATAAACATCTTTTTTAAGTGATCACATTCTTTCTGTTTTCAGCTGCACAGAGAGCAGGGAGAAGAAAAACAGCAGTACAATGAACTTCCCAGTGAAAGGCTGAGCAGGGGGCAAAGAGATCTGGACAAGTCTAACCATTGGAGGAAAGCAGGCTGAGTTCCCAGCACAGCTAGAGAACTGACCACTGTGTATTCTCCTGCCTAATGTGGTCAGTTCTTAATAGGAAAGCAGAGGGACTGGCAGGAACAACAGGGATTTCACAAAAAGGAAGCAATACAAAGAGATGAGGATACTTTTTCATACAAGTACATGGTACAGCAGGCACATATCAGGAATATGAACTGTTGGGTTTACATATTCTTTAATTTTGTAACTTTTATATCTGCCTAAAGTTCAGCCTTCAGAAGTGGAGAGACAACTTAACACAGTCAGGAGCAATAGGTCTATTCACTACCTTGCACTTCCTTCTCCCTGCTTATTGAGCTTCATTGTACAGAGATTTTCCAATTCTCCGAAGAATCTCTGTGACAAATACAGAGGGCTTGTGACTTTAGGACAATTTCTGTATTGTGAGAGCTGTATCTGTTTATGCCACTCTGTAGCATGAAAATATGAGGTAAATTACACACCAGCTTGTTCCACACTACCATTCTTTAGTATGAGCCATTTAATAGTTACATACTTGACAGCAATACTGATTTATTTACTGTGTGAAAGAGAGCATCAAAGATCCCTGGTTTTTACAGGATAAATAATTATGTGCTGCCTCAGTTACCCCACAATTCCACTGAATAATAAAAGGCTGTGTTCTGCGTAGTATGGAACTGGTATACTATATGTACCAGAAGGTTTAAAAGAGGATTGCAAAAACCTCTAACAGGAAACTGGAATGAATAGATACAGGAAGTAGATGGGATTTGTTCTACTCACGCTGGAAAGTCTGCTGCGTACTGCCACCCTTCTCCATCTGTTCCACCAGAAACATTAAAGTCTATGTACCAGTCAGAAACCTGCAGAGACAAGAGTGTGATATACTAGAACAAGCTTTCTAGAAGTATAGACTAATCTTGAACACCAAGGCACAAAAGTATATAGTGGCCGTTCTAGTGGGGAACACTTTTTAACTGAATGATATTTTTGTGCAATTTGCAAATCTTTAAAGCCCAACTTAGGGAAAGTATAACATTAGCCCATGCAGTGGGGCTGTCAAGGTCCTACCTTTTCCCAGAGGTTATGTTACTCCATGTGCTGGCATCCATCTTGGATTTCTGCTGAGCATGGTGGGAATCCTTTATGCCTTCAGGTCTCTGAGGTCCATCCCCCAGAGGGGTGTGGCTGATGACATATAAGCCTGTGGTCCGCACATGCTCTTTGCACTTGTGTCTTGGTGTTGCTATTACTCTGTTCTGACTCTCGTGACTCTCCTGGAATCTGACTCGGCTTGTGACTCGACTATTCTTTGTGTTCTCCTTTGATCTGACCCTCTGTTGCTGAACCCGGTTCATGACCTGTGATTCTCGTCTGCTGTCCTGTACCGTATTGTCCCGTTGTTGTCACCCAGCCTGCCTAACTACTCTATTGTCTTTTCCACCAGCTACACACCATTGGCGGTGGCCATTACCGCAACTGAGGTGTCTCGGGGGACGCGACCTGGTTCCTGGCTGCGTCAAGTCCATCCCCACCATCAGGGGCCCTGGTGAAGGGCAGCCTGGGACTTAGGTCTGTGGGTGGTGGTTGTCGTCAGCCAGTGCGTTACATTGTTTAGGCCTGCCTGTCCGTTCCTCAGCTCCTGCCCTGACAGGGGCTTAGTTGGGTCCAGGGGGTACACTCCATCCTGTTCACGACTCCAGGTGACACACTCCTTTAGAAACTTAGGAGTTGAATTACAGTCTTCACACACCTATATATCCAACAATATATGCCCCATGCTCTCCCAGCTGCAACAATGGATGGACCTCCCGTTAGACCTTATGGGCATGGTTAATATCATAAAAATGATTTTTCTACACAAATTTCTTTACGTACTAGCTAACTACCCAATTCCACTTTTTAAACAACTTGATATGATTTGCTTGGTATTACTTTGGCAGCAGCAGACTCCTAGAATTGCTCTAGATGTTTTCAATTTGGCCACTAATTTGGAAGGTCTAGCTGTCCCTAACTTTTATGTTTATTATCGGGCATCTCAACTTCTTAATATTTGTGATTGGCTCAATCCATCATCAGCTAATGCATGTACCACTACAGAGGCTGCTACAGTCACTTCCTTTGAATCCTTGCAGAATATCAGGTGCCTCCCTTCCAAGGTACTACTATGCGAAATACCTCCCTCTCTATATTCCTTAGGGTGTTGACTTGCATTTCTTCTGATCTGTCGCTGACTTCCCCGAATAACCCACTATGGTCCAACCCCTTCCTTTCTGAGCTTCTCTCTATTCCAGATATGCAGGGATGGGCTTACAGAGGTGTAAAGTATTTTTGTTGTCTATACAAACCACAGGGATTTAAGTCCTTTTCTCAGAGGACTTTAATCTTCTGCCTAATTATTTGTTCTATTATTACCAACTCTGTCATGCTCTTAGGGCTCAATTCAGAACATTAGATAACACAATTCAAATTACCCAATTCTGCCTCATGCAATTGCACATTATGGCTAACTTACCTGTCAAATGATGGCCATTGGTCAAATACAGTGCTCAGCATAAATGAGTGCACCCCTTTTGAAAAGTAAGATTTTAATCAATATCTCAATGACCATAAGAACAATTTCCAAAATTTTGATAAAACAGTTTTATGAACATTTGTTTAGCTCATCACATGAAAGTAAGGTTCATAATATAACTTAGATTACAAAATCTTCAGTTTTACTCAAATTATTTATTATTTAATGCAAAAATGAATACACCCCACAACAAAAACTACTACATATGTATTTTGTATGACCTCCATGATTCGTAAGGACAGCACCAAGTCTTCTATGCATGGAATGAACAAGTTGGTGATACACTGCAACATCTACTTTTCCATTCAAGAATGAATGCTTTTAGAGCATGGATGTCTGATGGAGAATGATGCTCCACTTCTCTCTTCAGAATTCCCCATAGGTGCTCGATTTGGTTCAGATCAGGAGAAATACTTGGTCACTGAATCACTTTCAACCTGTTCTTCTTCAGAAATGCAACAGTTGCCTTAGATGTGTGTTTTGGATCATTGTCATGTTGGAAAAGTGCACGACGACCATAGGCACGGAGTGATGATAGCATCTTCTCTTTCAATATACAGCAGTACGTGTGTGAATTCATGACACCATAAGGAGAGAAGAAGAAGAGCCTCTAAGTGCAGCAGACCACTTTAATATATAATAAAAGTAGGAACACTCACATGGTAGTAGAGTAATAAAAGCATGTTGGGTATTGTGGTGTAGAAACACTGTGTAGAACGGCTGTCACTGGTGCCTGTAACGTCCGCGTCTCAATGGTAGGGAGCGTGGTTGCAGGAGGGAGACAGATGTGGAGCCAGCCAGCATGCACGTACTCCTCAAGATGGTGGCTGGAACGCACGCTGAACCGCAATGTCGGTGTAGGTGTGATGATGTCAGTGACCAGGATGCAATGCGACGTGTTTTGGAGCATGCGCTGGCCTCTAGTGCACTCCTTTCTCAAGCAGGGGAATTCATGACACCATCAATGAGATGCAGCTCCCTGACACCAGCAGCACGTATGCAGCCCCACAGAAGGACACTGCCACCACCATGTTTCACTGTAGGCACCATGCATTTTTCTTTGTACTCACCTTTGCAACGCCATACAGTTTTGAAGCCATCAGTTCCAATTACATTTACCTTGATCTCATCACTCCAGAGTACAGACTCCCAGTAGTCTTCTTTTTTCAGCATGGGCCCTGGCAAATTCTAGGCAAGCTTTTTTGTGCATGGGCTTTAGGAAAGGCTTCCTTGGTGGATGACACCCATATATGCCATTCCTCTGCAGTGTTCACCGTATTGTGTCATGGGAAACAATCACCCCCACGAAACCCCAGTTTGGCTTTCTACTTCTTTAGCTAACTGCAGTGAACTTGCATGGCGATTTTCTTCAACCCTTCTCATCAGAAGACACTCCCACTGAGGCGTTAGCTTTCGTAGACAGCCTGGACGTCTGTGAGATGGTTGCAGTTCAATCTTTGTTAAATTTTATCACTTTTGCAACAGTATTCTGACTGAGAAGTAAAACGTTGATGATCTTCTTGTAGCCTTCACCTTTCTTATGCAAAGAAATTATTTACTTTCTCTTTCATATGGTGCTATTGCTGACAGCATGAAATGGGAAGGGGTTTTCTTTGTTAAGTAATGCCCTTTTATAATCAAATGTCTGCTGGGCACCTGTTTAATGAATAATTAAACTCACCTGTAGTTGAATTCTTGTAAATTAGGATTTTGTTGTAAAAAATTTAGATTTGCTTTTAAGACTTTCATTGGGGTGTATTAATTTTTGCACCAAGGTCTAGAATGAATTTTTTGCAATCAATGGCCCACATTTTGTGGGAGTATTTTGTAGTATAGTGTCCAATGGAAAATGTTGATTCTGAAAGGAAAGTAAAAGGTTTTCTGACAAATCTATTGGGGTGTACTCATTTATACTGAACACTGTAATTGTGGGCCAGAGGCCACATTTTGAAGGGAAGCTTTGGCACGAGAATGTGACTTCAACATATATGCAACTTTTTAATCTGTGTAGATGATTTTTTTTTTGCTGGTTAGCTTGAAAATGTTCTGGGAACCACCTATGCATTGTCAAAAAATTAAGCCACAGGGTTAGCATGACAGCCAGGCAACCATGATTTGCAGAAGGGATTTTAACAATGGTGTCATTCATTATTTTGTCAGAGGAGGTTTCCTTTTAAGAAGAGTGCATGGTTCCATACAAATTATGCCTTTGTGCCCCAAAGGCCAACTGTGCACTCAGAACTGTTACCTGTACAGCACAGAGACAGCCTACTTGTATAGAGCCATTTATTCCAAAATGTCCACACCTATTATCTGATAGTTATTTTGAGAAAATGGTTATATGAAAGGTGGTTTTGGATGTATAGCCAGAACCAAACATCTAGCAATATTGTGCATGGATCCACTCCATTTGTATTTTTATAGCATCACTAAACCAAAAGCCAAGCATGTATACATAATGAGCAATATTTGTTCATTGCATATACCTGTACAAGCTGTGCTTTCTAATTATTATTGCTGCACTTTACTTCTCTAATTGAAGTGCGCCTCTACAGGTCAGTTCAGACCCATAATAATTCACTGGGTACAACACAACTGAAGAGTGGCTTACCCTTTGATTGATATTATTACAGTTGAGTTTTAGCAAATATGCTAGTTGCACCATTTGACAAACAAATAATAGAGGGGGCAAATCTACAAATCTGTACATCAAATAAAAACATGACATAGCAAACAAAAGGCCACATATTTTTTTTTTTCTGGTCACCGAAACAATAATAAAATGTTACTGCAGGCGCACTTCTGCAAATGCTGGTAAAAAACAATTGCACAAGTCATAGCAATACTAGAAGAATGTCCATACAGAAGAAATCAATACATAAAAAATGTTCATAAATAAAATCTAGACATAACAATGCATTCAGACAGGGGTTATGTTGCCATAAGAATGATTTGCTAGAGCCATTAGACAAGCACCATCTAGTGATCAGAAAGCTAATTGCAGCAGACCCCGGAAATGCAACACACATGACCTTTACACATAGATTATTCTAAAGATAACTTGCATCTCTATAATAGAGTGACGCAAAAAAAAAAAAAAAAAAAAAAAAACACCAGTGGCATTTAAAACAAAATAGTATGGAGAAACAGGACATTAGTGTGTTTGCTTTTTCTAGTGTTCCTAAGTACTGAGCTTCCTTGTTTCATAATTAACAGTGTGTGAAATGCTGCCAATATGGGGTTCCTATTTACACACTGTTATGTGCACAGATAGATGGTTTCAGAAGAGTAAACATTAGCCGGTATTATAGCCGAAAAAACACACTGCAGAAGTTCTATCCTTCAAAACAAACAATGATTAACTCTTGCACGGCCAAAACTCTTTACAAAAGAAGGCAAGTTTTAGTGACAGTTAATGAAAAACAGTGAACTGTCTTACCCAGGACCACTGTGGAGAGGGAGGCTTTGTGTTGGTCTTTGTGCATTCCTGCAGTCCACTTGCATCGCTCCACATGTATCTGTCTGTTAACAGCCCGCTACATAACATGACACCATAACATTAAAGAAAGACTCAAGGAAACATGTCAAGTCAATCAATAGAACATTAAAAAACAACTCCAGGAAATATGTCAAGTCAGTCAATGAACTACCAATGTAATCAAGAAAACACTGCTACTATGCTAAGGTGATATAGTCCAGTTAAAAGTGCAACTCCAGCTTTGTGTTTGGATAGAGCCAGGGATTTTTGTACTAGTGACCAGAGTACGGCTTTGAGCTAAACTTCTTACTTTCTCTCTCTGAATGCATTCTCTCTATATAGCTGGTTATAGTATTAGTCTCTCCTTAGTAAATTCCCCACAAAAATGTATGGAGAATGAACTCCAGTATAGGGAAATGGAACATTCAGCTCACAGCAATGCCCTGGTGGACACAAAGAGAAGTAGTGATTGGAAACCTCCTCCTATGATTCCTTGAAGCTAAACTAAGCATGAGACAGGTGAAACAGAGCTACTACCTCCTTTAATCATCCACAGCTTAGAGGTATGGGCTTCCAGCTAGGAAGGTCTCTGTTACCCTCCAATGTTCAAGCAATGCATAAGGAAAGCTGGCGCTGAAGTGCAATGACTATAATCAAATGCTTGTCAAAAGTTTGTGTAGTAAAGTCATGTAAGGATCCAACACGTTTCGGCCTGCAGGCCTTAATCATAAAAGAGTGTAAGAAAGTGAGCGCTTTCAATATAAAGCAGCTATTGCACTACGGGTAACCAAATAAAACCTCAATCATAAATATAAACAAAGTGCAGCGCTAATAAATAATAATGTCTGTATAAATAAATAGTTCTTAAGGCGACAATCCGTGCATAAAATGTCAACTCCGAAAATACTTCAGTGCTTGTGCTTTGAAAAAGTGGGGTAAGAATACACATTCACCAGACCCAGAGGGAGGATAATCCTTTACCTGGCCTAATCTGCTTCCTTAAATGGGACCTCTGTTGATTGATTTACATGCGTAATTTCATTACGCATCTGGTGAGTGCGTATTTTTACCCCACTTTTTCAAAGCACAAGCACTGACACTTTATGCACAGATTGTCACCTTAAGAACTATTTATTTATTTATACGGACATTATTATTATTATTATTTTATCTATTTATTAGCGGTGCACTTTGTTTATATTTAGGCCTTAATCATAGCCATGACTAAGGCCTGATGGCTGAAACGCACTGGATTTGTACATGACTGTACTTCATAAACTGTAATAAAAAGCATTTGATTAAAACCGTTGCACTGGAGCGCCAGCTTTCCTTATGCATTGCTTAAACTAAATATGGCTTTCTCAGTATTTCTGGTTGGAGCTACAGCATCTTGCTACAGCCGTGCTAATCTTGTGCAATCTGAATAAAATAGATCTTCAGTACATCTCTCTGTATGTAATGATATCTGTAGACTGAAGTGGGTATGGAGCAGAGGTTAAAATAATTTATCTTTGAACAGTCTGGGGTGTGAGTAGTTAAAGTACAGAGAGACTATAATGGATGGAGTTGGGAATGTCTCCCCTACAGAACAAAAGTATTGGGTTTGGATCCGCCAGAGCAGCAAGCAATACAGGATAATATGCAAATTCCTCCAAGAAGGCATGACTATCTCCCATGCACAATGCTAATTTATGCTAAATATATACATTTAGGGGCGGACTGACAACTCATGGGGCACCCGGGCAATAGGGGATCATGGGGCCACCATACCCTCGCCCACACCCAAAAAAGCCTATGAAAAAAAACAATGAAAGGTACCAGGGGCATCTCATGGGGCCCCCTACTGACCCCGGGCCCTCGGGCAGTGCCCGAGTGCTCGAATGGTCAGTCCGCCCCTGCACACATTTAATACCTAACATTTTAATATCTAGCAGGAGTCTAGAATACAGAGCCATTATAGAAAGCTTAAGTAACAATAAAGTTATAATGTTTAATGGACACAAAAATATATTGGATCCTTAATTAATGTTTCTCTGAAGCCAATCTTTTGTACGATGAGAGGATTTTTTCTGAGCCTGAACTTTTTATTATCTGTAGAACCCCAGTCTTCCCTGAGAGGAGCCTGGAGACTGTTTGTTTCTCATCCATGCCCAGTGCAGAGCCTGAAATAATGAAGTACCTTTATTGCTATATTGATTAGAGCCAAAACCTGTTTTTTTAAGATTTTAAACATCCATTTATCAGATTCACATACCTGAAAGTATATATAATGCAACAAATGTATGATGTTTGAATTTTACAGACTCCAGTTGGTATGGGTGCATGTTTTGTTTTAAAGGGGAAGTTTGGGATTTAAAAAAAGAACAAACACATATTCACCTAGGTAGAAGCAGCATTGCTCTGATGCTGCATCTGTACCCTGCCGCCTCTAAGACCAGGAGCTGAACGATCAAAGACTGCTGAGCTCTCAGTTATCGGTATTCACTGCTCAAAAAGCTGGTAACTATCAGTCTCTGGCTCCCTGCTTTTCCTTTCCAGCTCTCATTGGAACTCTGGGCTGTGGAGGGGGTGGGTGTGGCTGGCTCAGGCTCTCAGCAACATGTTGAGAGACTGAGCCAGCTGCCAATCCAGGCACCTAGGTAGGTCCGGACTTTACCACTTGCCTACTGGGCACTTTTACTCCCTTCGTGCCCAGGCCAATCTCCAGATTTCAGTGCCGTCGCACTTTGAATGACATATGCACTGTCATGCAACATTGTACCCATATGGAATTTTTTTTTTTTTTTCACACACATAGAGCTTTCTTTGTTGGGATTTAATTGCCACTGGGTGTTTTATTTTCTTTGTTTCTATTCTAAAATTTAGCAAACAGGTAATTTTTCTCCTTCACTGATGTGCATTGATGAGGCTGCACTGATAGGCTGCACTCATGAGGTGGCAATTATGAGGCGGCACTGATATGCAGCAATGATGGGCACTGACTGGCAGCGGTGACTGACAGCACTGACTGGGCAGCACTGATTGGTGGCCTTGATGGGTGGCACTGCTGAGCATTGATCATCGGGGCACAGATCATCAGTGCCTTGATGATCGGTGCAGATGTCCTCTGTGTCATTTGCCCGTAATCGTCAGTACTTTCCTCACGTTGTGACAGTGTGAGGAAAGTGCTGCCGATAACCGGCAACTGTATTTACATTGTGATATGCTACGTCATATGCTGTGTCATTGGACACAGCTGATCACATGGTAAAATGCTGCTGTGATTGGCCTTTTACCTCATCATGTCATCAGCTGTGTCCGCAGTGATCACGGAGAGCACTGGGTGCACTCCGCTAGGGGCGTGCGGGAGGGCGCATTCTGGGAGGACGTCATACGACGCCCTCCCAGAACTGGACAACCGCGCTGTAGCCATCATTTGGCTATAGCGCAGTTGTCAAGTGGTTAAAGTCAGGATTTTTCCAGAGCCGGGACCAGCTCAGTGACGTCAGCCAACAGTGGACTTTAGCCCACTGATGGCTAAATATGAGTCACAGGAGTGCAGAACAAAGTGCACTCCTGTGACCCACAGGAGAAGTATGGCTAAGAGAGCTTTAGCCCTACTTCTCCTTTAAGGAAAAGTGTACTTTTAGACAAAGTACATTCATCTTGCATGCCTAGCCTCCCCTACCCCCTGATTAAAAGTATTCCACACTGTTGTTCTAGGGGCATACTTACCTGAATCTGATGCCTGCGGCTTTCTTCAATTTTTACAGCTTGCAACCAACATTTTTCTACCTCCTGGCTATCTCCTGTGGTTATGAGGACCCACTGCACAGACTAAGCCAGTGGCAAGGAAGATTTCAGGATCTTAGAACTGCAGAAGGCCACAATGGTCAGATTCAGATAAGTATGCATCTGGGATTAGAGGGTCATAGAATCCTTTTGATCAAGGGGGTTAGACAGGCAGGATACGTTAACGTTATCAGATTTTAGACCAAAATTATATTTGGATTCAGCTTCAAAACAGTAAACAAAAAAGAACTTGCTTTACTTACAAAAGAAGGAAAACAAGAATGTTCCGATATGTCTCTGCCATCTAGTGCTCACAATGTTTAGTGCAATTAACAATGAATAGCCCCAACTGAACAGCAAACCAAACTTTAGCTAGGACTCTTTCATACCAGTTTAAAAATGGATCGAAAGAAACCAATTTTTACCATTCAACTCCAATGGAGATTTTCATTTTTTGAAGAGAAAACTAAAAACAAGTTGAACAAAATTATAGGCTCAATTCATGAAGCTTAAAAGTGGTTGTAAACCTCAGACATGAAGTATGAACAAAGCATATCCCTCTGTAGTGTGTAAGCGTCATTCCTGTCAGCATGAATCAGTTCTGACAAGTTTTCCTGACACCAAGAGAAAAATGGTGACAGAGGAGGGACCCCCAGCAGATTGGCAGCCTCAGCTCTGTTCCTGTGAGCTGTACAATTTATGTAGAAGGATTAGTTTTCATCTCTGTGTATCACCTAAGGCCAGTCACTTTGCTAGGTATATGTACAGTATATAGGGCTTACAACCACTTTAAGGCATGCATTATTTGCCTAACCAATTACTAATTTTACCTATGTTTCTAAAGCACCCTATAATCATTTCTGAAAATAATATAAAGTTGTTATAAGGTTTTGACATTACCGATGGAGGATGCAGGGATAAAGTAAACTGTCATAGAAATATGGGGACTGCTGTTGTTTATCACTTTCTGAAGGTGTAAGATACCTATTTATTATGCTTTTCCAGAAGCTTCAGTATTTACCAAGTCCCTGACCTGGGACAAACATGCAGATCTTGAAAGTCAGAAAAAGTGTCAGAAGTCCATATCTGCATGCTTGTTCTGGTTTAAAGATTTAAAGTATTGACGTTAAGTATCTCTGCATGAAAGCCATGCAATTAGCATTTTAAACAGATCACAGCAATGGCTGCCCCCATGTTTCTCCTGTAACAATGGCAATATTTCTCAAATATAAAAGGGACAAAATATATGAGCGCTGGGTTGTGGTATAGATGGAGAGCTGCCAGCATAAAGAGGGAAACCTCAGAATCCTCCAGTGAAATCTAAACAAGTAAAAAATATGCAGCGCTAAAATAATATTGATGAGTAATAAATATGCGTATATAAATAAATATGAAAGTTAGTAAATATAATAGTAATATTCTAAGCTAGCGTTTAACAACGCTAAAAGGTAAAAAGACCAGTCTTAGGTAAAATCCCATAAGGTGCATATAGTGACAATTGTGATTTAGTCAGTATGATATATATTGCGAATTTCTGTGATTGCTGTGGCTGTGAAAATAGGTGCACATTGCAATAACCAGATAGCACAAATGATTGTGCGTTGGAGTATATAAGACCTACTCCTTGGTACTTAGGGAATGGAAACTTTGCACACAGATAAAGTCGTCAAGGCAGGAACTAACCACCAGGTGTCATCCATCCAGGATTACCAGTCTCCAGCAATACAGATCTCAGCCATCAGGACAGGTTACCAGTCTCACGCAATACAGATCTCAGCCATCAGGGGGATCATGAAATATGCATAGATCAGGTTGGAAGAAGCACCTTAGGAGAAGGGGGGCTCGCCGGTACAAGAAACAAGCCCAAGAGAAGAAAAGCTCCAATAGTGTAGTAGTTTTATTGCTTCAGATAAAGGTGACATAAAAAAACTCCCCAAAAAATCAGACACTTACATAAAATGATCCAATATGGCCGCCGGTCATGTATAAGGCCGTGCGGTGTGCTTGTAATAGTTAGGAGCACCACTCTAACGCATTTTGTGTAACACACTTTTTGTCAAAAGGGCTTTGACAAAGTGTGTGTTACACGAAACGCGTTAGGAAGGTGCACTACACTATTGGAGCTTTAGATCACAATTGTCACTATATGCACCTTATGGAATTTTAACTAAGACTGGTCTTTTTACCTTTTAGCGTTGTTAAACGCTAGCTTGGAATTATATTTGCTAACTTTCATATTTATTTTTATACGCATATTTATTTCTCAAATATACTTTGATAGATCAATCAAAGATAAACATTAGCAAAATATTAAATCGAATTTCGGTAAGGAAGTGTAAAAAAACACTCACCAACAGAAAATGATCAGAATTGATTTTACTCAAAGACACATTAAACCCTGGTTTTAACCAAATTCTATTCAAGTATGTATCTTTAACTGAAAGAGTATAATCTAATACTCACAGCCTCCTCCAAATTCCTTTTTTGCTAATATCATCTGACTTGTTAGAGGGTGACTACATTCATTCTTTAAGGTCCCACTGTATATATGAACAAACCACCCTCTCTTGCTTCCTCCCAAGATGCACTAGGGACTATAGAGTATGGGAAGTGTGGTGTGCATGGAGCAGTACACATGACTGCAACTAATATGGACTGCTTGTTCCAAACAAGCGGAAGTGAGAAGGAAAAAAGAGATTTAGAAGCTCATAGATGACATCACAAGGAGGCAGAAAAACACAGTATGAAACAATTCCACTAAAATAAATGACTGGACCATTTCTTAGTCAATGCACATGAATTATTTTTTGAGAATAAGGATATACAGTGGGGCAAAAAAGTATTTAGTCAGCCACCAATTGTGCAAGTTCTCCCACTTAAAAAGATGAGAGAGGCCTGTTATTGGCATCTTAGGTAGACCTCAACTATGAGAGACAAAATGAGAAAAAAAAATCCAGACAATCACATTGGCTGATTTGGAAAGATTTTATTTGCAAATTATGGTGGAAAATAAGTATTTGGTCACCTACAAACAAGCAAGATTTCTGGCTCTCACAGACCTGTACCTTCTTCTTTAAGAGCTCCTCTGTCCTGCACTCATTACCTGTATCAATGGCACCTGTTTCAACTTGTTATCAGTATAAAAGACACCCGTCCACAACCTCAAACAGTCACACTCCAAACTCCACTATGGTGAAGACCTAAGAGCTGTCGAAGGACACCAGAAACAAAATTGTAGACCTGCACCAGGCTGGGAAGACTGAATCTGCAATTGGCAAGCAATTTGGTGTGAACAAATCAACTGTGGGAGCAAGAATTAGAAAATGGAAGACATACAAGACCACTGATAATCTCCCTCGATCTGGGGCTCCACGCAAGATCTCACCCCGTGGGGTCAAAATGATCACAAGAACGGTGAGCAAAAATCCCAGGACCACACGGGGGGACCTAGTGAATGACCTGCAGAGAGCTGGGACCAACGTAACAAAGGCTACCATCAGTAACACACTACGCTGCCAGGGACTCAGATCCTGCAGTGCCAGACGTGTCCCCCTGCTTAAGCCAGTACATATCCGGGCCATCTGAAGTTTGCTAGAGAGCATTTGGATGATCCAGAAGAGGATTGGGAGAATGTCATATGGTCAGATGAAACCAAAATAGAACTGTTTGGTAGAAACACAACTCGTCATGTTTGGAGGAGAGAGAATGCGGAGTTGCATCCAAAGAACACCATACCTACTGTGAAGCATGGGGGTGGCAACATCATGCTTTGGGGCGGTTTCTCCGCAAAGGGACCAGGACGACTGATCCATGTACAGGACAGAATGCATGGAGTCATGTATCGTGAGATTTTGAGTGCAAACCTCCTTCCATCAGCAAGGGCATTGAAGATGAAACTTGGCTGGGTCTTCCAACATGACAATGATCCCAAACATACCGCCCGGGCAACGAAGGAGTGGCTTCGTAAGAAGCATTTCAAGGTCCTGGAGTGGCCTAGCCAGTCTCCAGATCTCAACCCCATAGAAAACCTTTGGAGGGAGTTGAAAGTCCGTAGTTGAGGTCTACCTATGATGCCAATTACAGGCCTCTCTCATTTTTTTAAGTGGGAGAACTTGCACAATTGGTGGCTGACTAAATACTTTTTTGCCCCACTGTAGCTTAGCGTCACATTTAGTGTCACTTTAAAGACCGGCTCACATATGAATCTGTGTAATTCCTATACGACTCAGTGCAGTGCAATTTTTCAGCTTATTAATTTGAACGGGCTGAAATTGCACTGGATCACATCAAAAGAAGTGCATGCACTACTGGGGTACCATGCGATTCTTTACAGGCAAATGCATTGTAATTGCGATCTGTGTTTGGGTTGTCATTAGGAATACACGGACACTTGCGGCAGATCACACTTTTGAACACAGTGTGAGAAAAGCGCACAGAACACGGGTTTCCATTAGCATCTTCTGGGGTGTTTGTTTATGCATTTTACCTTACTGAATAGGACATGAATGACTAACTGCAACACATGTAAACATATAGTAAATCAGGTGTGTATTATTTATCATAACAATATACGCACATGCTGCTGTATCCAGTGACAGGATTCCACCTCTGGTTTTCGTATATGTACACACATTTTGTATCACTTTGAGGAAATGTGTTATTTTTGCTGCTGTCTAACCCTAGAGTGAAATTTAAGAAAAAAAAAAAAAAAAACAAGAAAAATATCAGTTTTTGATAACAGAGTTGACAGCTCAAATCAGGTAAAAATTCTACTCAACTGGGTATAGAGAATTGTCATATCTGATATTGATATTTATTACCTTGCATGAAGCCTCCTCCATAACCTCCTGTGTAAACCCATGCTGTGTGGTCATAGCCAATTCCCCACACTACACCACAACTGCTGCTCTCCACCATTCGCAGGTGTCCTCCTATCGGACGCCAGAACCTGCAATTATGGCATAGGTTGTCACTATAAATCACTACTAGTATTAAAGAGGAAATTCATGTAAAACACAATAATTATTGTTGGATAGACTCTGCAGATTCAATCAATTATTGGCTGATCACAAATTAAGATTCAAGCCCTACTCCCCCATCACGACCATAACATTTCTTGACCAGGGGACTGTAATATATAGGACACATCACTGCTTGGTGTAAATTTGAGAAAAGAAAGTACAGCTATGGTGTAGGAGCAGAGTTAATCAAGTTTCTAATGGGTGGAGGGTAGTAGTAATTTGGACTCTGTGAACAAATCTTTCCCTCTCTCCCTAAAATTGGTCGGGGTGGATATATTCTTAACCAAGCATAAACAAGACAAGTAACAGCATAAACTCATATACAGTCAGGTCCATAAATATTGGAACATCGACACAATTCTAACATTTTTGGCTCTATACACCACCACAATGGGATTTGAAATTAAACAAACAAGATGTTCTTTAACTGCAGACTGTCAGCTTTAATTTGAGGGTATTTACATCCAAATCAGGTGAACGGTGTAGGAATTACAACAGTTTGCATATGTGCCTCCCACTTGTTAAGGGACCAAAAGTAATGGGACAATTGGCTTCTCAGCTGTTCCATGGCCAGGTGTGTGTTATTCCCTCATTATCCCAATTACAATGAGCAGATAAAAGGTCCAGAGTTAATTTCAAGTGTGCTATTTGCATTTGGAATCTGTTGCTGTCAACTCTCAAGATGAGATCCAAAGAGCTGTCACTATCAGTGAAGCAAACCATCATTAGGCTGAAAAAACAAAACAAACCCATCAGAGAGATGGCAAAAACATTAGGCGTGGCCAAAACAACTGTTTGGAACATTCTTAAAAAGAAGGAACGCATCGGTGAGCTCAGCAACACCAAAAGACCCGGAAGACCACGAAAAACAACTGTGGTGGATGACCGAAGAATTCTTTCCCTGGTGAAGAAAACACCCTTCACAACAGTTGGCCAGATCAAGAACACTCTCCAGGAGGTAGGTGTATGTGTGTCAAAGTCAACAATCAAGAGAAGACTTCACCAGAGTGAATACAGAAGGTTCACCACAAGATGTAAACCATTGGTGAGCCTCAAAAAACAGGAAGGCCAGATTAGAGTTTGCCAAACGACATCTAAAAAAGCCTTCACAGTTCTGGAACAACATCCTATGGCAGATGAGACCGAGATCAACTTGTACCAGAGTGATGGGAAGAGAAGAGTATGGAGAAGGAAAGGAACTGCTCATGATCCTAAGCATACCACCTCATCAGTGAAGCATGGTGGTGGTAGTGTCATGGCGTGGGCATGTATGGCTGCCAATGGAACTGGTTCTCTTGTATTTATTGATGAAGTGACTGCTGACAAAAGCAGCAGGATGAATTCTGAAGTGTTTCGGGCAATATTTTCTGCTCATATTCAGCCAAATGCTTCAGAACTCATTGGACACCTCATCAGTGAAGCATGGTGGTGGTAGTGTCATGGCGTGGGCATGTATGGCTGCCAATGGAACTGGTTCTCTTGTATTTATTGATGATGTGACTGCTGACAAAAGCAGCAGGATGAATTCTGAAGTGTTTCGGGCAATATTTTCTGCTCATATTCAGCCAAATGCTTCAGAACTCATTGGACGCCGCTTCACAGTGCAGATGGACAATGACCCAAAGCATACTGCAAAAGCAACCAAAGAGTTTTTTAAGGGAAAGAAGTGGAATGTTATGCAATGGCCAAGTCAATCACCTGACCTGAATCCAATTGAGCATGCATTTCACTTGCTGAAGACAAAACTGAAGGGAAAATGCCCCAAGAACAAGCAGGAACTGAAGACAGTTGCAGTAGAGGCCTGGCAGAGCATCACCAGGGATGAAACCCAGCGTCTGGTGATGTCTATGCGTTCCAGACTTCAGGCTGTCATTGACTGCAAAGGATTTGCAACCAAGTATTAAAAAGTGAAAGTTTGATTTATGATTATTATTCTGTCCCATTACTTTTGGTCCCTTAACAAGTGGGAGGCACATATGCAAACTGTTGTAATTCCTACACCGTTCACCTGATTTGGATGTAAATACCCTCAAATTAAAGCTGACAGTCTGCAGTTAAAGCACATCTTGTTCGTTTCATTTCAAATCCATTGTGGTGGTGTAGAGAGCCAAAAATGTTAGAATTGTGTAGATGTCCCAATATTTATGGACCTGACTGTACCTACTCAAGGAAGAACCCGGATACTCAGATCAAATACAGTTGTGACCAAAATTATTCAACCCCCAATGCTGTAAAGGGGTTTAGGGACTATAGTGTACATTTGGAATTGTATTCAGAATCAAATCCTACAAGGACGTTGTAACTACCCAAATGCAACTAAAATGACATCAATTGTTTTATGTAATACAGTAGTAAATGGTTCTTATGTGGTTTCTTCATTGCCACAATTATTCAACCCCTTAAAGACTACCACTCTGAAGAACAGAGGTTCATACAGGTGCTTTCCATCAGGTATTGAAAACACCTGTGGATGTCACCGAGCAGCAATCAAGCATAATAAGCACCAATTAGGCAGCTTTAAAATGACTGTGATACTCAGCTCCTTCTAGACATTTACTGGTGTGGTTACAAACATGGTGAAGGCAAGAGAATGGTCCAGGAAGACAAGAGAAGAGGTGATTTCTCTTCACAGGAAGGGCAATGGCTATAAGAAGATTGCAAAGATGTTAAACATACCAAGAGACACCTTAGGAAGCATCATTCGCAAATTCAAGGCAAAGGGCACTGTTGAAACGCTACCTGGTCGTGGCAGAAAGAAGATGCTGACTTCGACTGCTGTGCGCTACCTGAAGCGTAGAGTGGAGAGAAGTCCCCGTGTGACTGCTGAGGAACTGAGAAAAGATTTGTCAGATGTGGGTACAGAAGTTTCAGCCCAGACAATAAGACGCACACTGCGTAATGAAGGCCTCCGTGCCAGAACTCCCAGGCGTACCCCCTTGCTGTCTCCAAAGAATAAGAAGAAGAGTCGACTGCAGTATGCCAAAAGCCATGTGGACAAACCACAAAAGTTGTGGGATAGTGTTCTGTGGACTGATGAAACAAAATTAGAACTGTTTGGGCCCATGGATCAACGCTATGTTTGGAGGAGGAAGAACAAGGCCTATGATGAAAAGAACACCTTGCCTACTGTGAAGCATGGTGGAGGGTCAATCATGCTTTGGGGCTGTTTTGCTTCTGCAGGTACAGGGAAGCTTCAGCGTGTGCAAGGTACCATGAATTCTCTTCAGTACCAGGAGATATTGGATGGAAACGTGATGCAGTCCGTCACACACCTGAGGCTTGGGAGACGTTGGACCTTTCAACAGGACAATGATCCCAAGCATACCTCCAAGTCCACTAGAGCATGGTTGCAGCAGAGGAAAGGCTGGAACATTTTGGAGTGGCCATCGCAGTCACCAGACTTAAATCCGATTGAGAACCTCTGGTGGGACTTAAAGAAAGCAGTTGCAGTGCGCAAGCCTAAGAATGTGACTGAACTGGAGGCCTTTGCCCATGAAGAATGGGCGAAGATACCCGTAGATCGCTGCAAGACACTTGTGTCAAGCTATGCTTCACGTTTAAAAGCTGTTATAACTGTAAAAGGATGCTGTACTAAGTACTAAGATTGAATGTCACTTGGGGGTTGAATAAAACTGATAATGCTGTGAGCACAGAAAAGACATTTGTGGTTATTTCATTATAACTGTTATGTTATATTTGTCTGACCTACAAGTGCCTCTTTAATGTAAATGTAAGCAAGATGACTGAATGATCAAAAGCAATGTCAAACTGGCCAAAACACTCAATTTCAGTGGGGTTGAATAATTTTGGTCACAACTGTATATAACAGAATCATGCAGTGCAGAAGATAAATACTTAAATTTTTTTGCAGCATGTTTGCCAACATTAAGGTGTGGATTATCTCCCACACTTTATGTGGTATATTTTGTATTCCAATCTTTTTATTGAAAAGGACAGGTAAGAATGAGAGGTATAAAGATAATAATCCACATATAACATAAGTTGCATTGACAGAAAAAATAAGTAAATGAACACTGTAGCACACAAATGTAGAGACCAGAAGTCCATCTCACACAACCCATAGGCAAAAGGGATAAGCAGCAGACATCATTGTTTCAGAACATATTTCACTATTAGGAGCATATATTATATTTAAGCCCCTGAGAATATGACCACAACATCAGTCAGGTACTAAACTTAAGTACATCAAAAAATAATAAAAGAAAATTATTAAAAAATGAGAAGAAAAAGCAAGGAAAAAAAAAAGAGAATAAGAGAGAAGTTGAATTAGAGGAGGGCCAGCCATGGCCTCGCTGAGGAACAGAAGGGTATTGAATCCATGGATTCCACAGTTTGTTGAATTTCGACATATTGTTATGGAGAATACAGGTGAGTTTGTCATTAACCAAGATCAATTGTTACCACCGTTCCCTGTTTAGCAATAGTGATCCTGGCTGCCAGAATCATATATAATTTTGTTGATTTTTTTTGGAACCTCCGAAGGCAATATGTGGTATATTTTAGGTGGGTTTTTGCACATGGTAATACACACTGTAAAGTGTGAAAGGAGCGTTTGTAAAACGTGTTATAGGAAGAGGAAAAATAACAGCTCTACTGTCAGAATCAACAAGTGATAAAACTGTTATGGGGTGACACAAAAAGTGTTGTGTTAATGTTAGGGGGATACAGATATAAGAGGCACTAGATCTCAGATTATCTAAGACCAATGCTAGCATCTGTCTTATTTATACAACTGAATCGTTTCGCTTTAGCTTCTACCATACAAGGAACCCCAAACATAAGATGCCAAAAGCCATAAGGGCACCACACCAATGCTCCAGAGTGATCTTTTATTGAATAATTAATAAAATAGAGGCTCCACTTCATTTTAGGGGATCACACACTCCCTGTCATTGGGGCTTGAGTATTATAAAACTTCAACAGTGCCTGAATCAAATCCTTCATAAATTCTGCATAAAGCCACTGATACTATAACCAAAGTTCACAGAGTTGGACTGCTGAAACCTTAGATAGCCACAGGATATTTATTTATTTATTGCTGAATATTTACCAGGCTAAAAAGGTGTCCAAGTGAGCTGATTACATGGCAGACTAGGTTATTGTAGCATTATTTTATTTAGCTAGGTCCACAACCTACATGGTAGGAGTCCTATCCTACTTTGAGATGCTTGTGGAATCCTTCTCATAATTGTTTGCCAGCTCATGCTTTCATGTATTTAGCCATGATTTTTAATTATGAGGCTGCCGAGATGGTGCATAAGATGGTCTTGGCTGTATAACATCCTGAAATCTTAATAGTGCCTCACAAAGGCATAAAGATCTGATATTCCAATAACCATAGTCCAGTGTTATTCAACAGACCTCGGTTCATTTCTTTGAAAAACAGAATCTCATGTAGTACACAATGGATAGACATCTGCACGGGTCCTCACATTAGATACAAAAAGACACAAAATGCAAAACAGCTGTGCTTTGTGTCCACCACAGATTCTGTACCACTCAATAACAATAGGTTTAGATTTTGTAATATTTGCAGGGATGTGACCAGTTTACGCATCCCTTGCAACAAGTGCACACTGCATGGAGTATGGCTATACCAGTCCTAAGCTGTATACTGTATATTTTTCATCAGGCAAGACAATCTCCCAAAACTCAATAAATTTCTTCCCCTTGGGAGGGGAAAGAATCCCCTCCCTGTAAACATATCCCATTTACAGTCACACCAAGAACCTGCAGTCACAGTGGGTAGTAACCTTAGGACACTACGAACAGTAACACAGGCCATACACTTAACTGATTCCCAATGCCTTGGCTGAAAATGCTTAATGGTTAGCTCTTTTGGCACCCTTTCACCCAATATCCTTCAACTGAAAAATCGAAGGACCTTGCAGAAAAGTGTCAGATGACCAGAGGCTGCATCCAAACAGATAAATCTGTTGTTTGAGTTATCTGACAGCTGCCGGCTGTCGGAATAAAATACGCAGCACTGCAGATTCATCCAATCGTGCTATGTAGCATTGATGGAGTAATCTGTTTTTTTTTTCTCCAGCCTAAAGACTGTACAAAAAAAAAAAAAAAAAAAAAATCTATCAGTGTCAGGCCAGCTTGATCCGTGTCAGATATTTTCATTTTCTCCAAATACTAAAATAGGAACAGGTGTTAAAAGTGACTGGAAAAGTCACATTTTATATTTCACACTTATTGCTGATGTCCAGGATGTGGTCTTTTCTAACACTTACATTTGGTCACAAGATCTTGAGTTAGTAAGGAACTCCAAATCTGGGGATGGGTCACTCACAAATATATCCCCTTTACAGGTGGTAGACCAAATCCCCTGTTGGGATGGGGGTCCGTGTATTTTTCTTCCCTCACAGCAGGACATATTCAGCAGGCAGAGCTGTGAAACAAGACAAAAAGATAAGATGATGCTTATCATAAGATGCAATGTCAGGAGCTGATGCTTGGATATGATTTTTAATGTTGCCAACGCCCATTAGCTTATCAATGAGAAATGTATGTGCCGTAATGGGTGATGTGACTTTTTTTTCATGCAGATTAAGCCATAATGCTGTAAGATCAACTAAACCCCCAAACACAAAATTTAATATATCACAGCTGACCAAGCCTTCTTTGTTTGGGCTAAGAACATTTTCAGAAAGTACATAAAATACCTTGTTAATCTTACCAGAAATGCAGTGTTCTCGTCACTTCCTGTGAGCTTAAAAAAAAAGCCCCCTATATATCTTCTATAAACCACTAATCCCGTCAGCCCCTATGCAATAGAGATGAAGAAAGACAGATATGTTTGAAGCCCAGTGTGTGTGACAACTCTGGTTCCTTTGTATGGAAGAGCGTTAAAAGTTTTTGGGGCTGAAGCTGTAAATGGGCTTCTGGAGGAGGCTAAATACCGTTTACAATTACAATTGTAAGAAATTTGAAGAAACAATAGGTTTGCTTTATGCAGAGGCGGACGTTTCCAATTGGTCAGTCCGCCCCTAGCTTTATGATATTAGAGAAAGTAAGGACATAGATACATAGATTGATATTTGCCAGCAAGTGATTCAAGTGTTGCTTGCAATAACCAAGCAGTGTATGCCTTAGGCCCCTTTCACGCGAGCGGACTGATCGGGTCTGCCTGTCCATTTTTCAAGCGGACCCGATCAGACACTCTAGTGCTCTCTAAGAAGCTGCGGGTGTAAACGGACATGTGTCCATTTACACCAGCCTGCATCAGATCTGATCCTGTCTGCTAAAAACAGACAGATTGGGATCCGTTCCCAATCTATCTGGCAGATCGGATCAGATGACAGTCAGATGGAAACGGACAGGCGGTCTGTTTCCATCTGACAGTCCATGGAGGACAGCGGGCTGTGTCCACGCTGCATAATCGCAGCGGACTTGGATCTGTCATCCTCTTGCTCAGCGGGGATATCGCCTACTGAGCAAGCGTATCCGCTGACGGGTCCCACCCCGTGTGAAAGGGGCCTTAGCTTTCAAACAGTGACAAACACATGTCACAAGCAAGCTGAAAAAATCTTTGTGCCTGAACGATGTTTTCCATCTCTGTTATTGTCAGTGAAAGACCTTGAGGTATGTGGAGAGCCTAAATGTAGCAGGTGTTATAGACCATCATGGAACTTTCCTTTCAACAAAGTGGACCAGAATGAAAAAGTTTTAACTAACTTAGCTACCTTTCCCTCATTTTCTTACCTAATCATGGGTATATAGTTGGGAGCGCCTAGCAAAAATGTTAATCTCACTTAGAAATTGGTTTAGGTCCTTATTAAACAAAGATTTCAGATACAGCCAACACATTTCAGGGCTGTCCCCCCCCCCCCCCTGGTTTTTCAGGGTTACTGTACAAAGAAGCTTGAATAAAAACAATAAAGATTATACTGTGGCAGTGCAAGGCCCTGGTTATCGAGATTATACTTTGAAGGGCTCCAGAATGTCAATTTTAAGTGGAGATAAATGGGGTTTTATCTTTCTCCAGGTTTTGTAATTTGAGGAACAGGGTCTGGAGATGTGAGACTTCAAAGTGCTTCTCCGAACCTCTGTCCAGATTTTACCAGAAACCAGCAGGCTAAGTGTGCTGGTGTTCACAGCTGTTATAATCTAAAACCTGACAGCAGCTAGGGCTCTATCCAACAGACAAGAAGTCTGTGCACAGGAGTCAGGACACCAATCTTCTCCAGGTGTCAGAAAGGCTGCATGGGGCAGCCAGAGCATGTATGTCCACGAGGCAGATTCTGTCAGTGACAGAGCAGCAAGGAAGTGATCGAGAGTAAACTATGAAAAAGCTTGAGTTTAGGGCCAGTTAACACCACAAAAAAGTCCTCAAGATGCATTCCAGATGCTTTTTTTTTCACTGTAATGGTGGGTCTGGTGCATTTTTCATGCTTTTTTTACCATGCTCCATTACAGTTCTGTGCAGGAAACTGTATAGGGATAAAGGTGATCCTTACTATATCCTACATCATAGTAATATATTAAGAGTGTTTAAGTTAATACATATATTTTTTATTGTATTAGACATGGCTATTATTGCTACCATAAGCAAGAGAGATAAAGAGAGAGAGTGTATCTGACCTCTTTGTTTAAATAAACACCATACACCTAATTATAAGTGAGATGACCATTTTTACTAAGTGCTTTGAGCTACATACCTACTACTTGATGATGTGATGAGTGATTTTTCCATTGTGATCAGACAGCAGCCTAGGACATACCTTTCACCTTTTCCAAGGAGAACACCTCCTCTTTTGGATTTAAGATAAAACCAGTCTTTACTCTTATCAGCACAGCACTGTCACTAATCTACTAACTATTCTTACCCAGTCATGCATCTCCTCTTCTGTAGCAGCAGCTAGCCGAACGGGCCACCTCTGCCTTGTTCTCTCTGAAGTGTAGATGGCAAAGGTGTGTTTAGCTTCACTTAGAACTGGCACCAAAATGGTCACTTCATTAAGGAATAAGTGAATGTACTGAAAAGAAAAGACAGACGCTTTCATTGCAATTATAAAATTTTATCTGAGAGTACCTGTTATTCACATTGTGTCAAGAAAGCCATTTCAGAAGATTAACCATTTTTAGGTCCATCATGTAAAGGATACAGACATTATTACTTGATTTATATTCACAAGAAAGCTTTTGACCAATGACACCTTTACTGGACAATAGACAGGTTAGCAGAGGTCTCATGCTCTGAAGTTTAACCCCTTCACGCCTAAGGGTACAAATCTTAATACCCAAGTACAATTTTGCAACTTGTGTTCGTAAAACCATACATATCATCACAGCTACTTTGTACATCCAGGTGAATTATACCTTGCTTTTGTTCAGGACAAATTGGGCTTTCATTTGGCAGTAAATGGTAATGGATAGCTCCTGACTTTGTTTTTTATTATTATCAAAGGAAAACTGGCCCAAAATAGTAAAAAAAAAAAAAATGTTTTGTTAATTTAGCTGTGTGTTTCTGGTTACTACCATAACCTACCACCAAAGAACAACCCAAAATAAATTTTCCAGCTCTTCATGATCACAGCGATACCATATATGTGTATGTTATTTGTACCCACAGTACAGCCCAGAAACAATAGTGCAGATTTTGTTTTTTACCTAAAACACACTGACACCAATATAAAAAAAAAAAATCCTAACCTTTGACCCTGACCCAAAAACACTAACCCTGGCACTGAACTAGATTAAGCCTTGATCTAGGTATTTTTTCTTTATTTTGTAATACTTATCTTTTTTTTTTTAAACAAATTTTTTTTTTTTCTCTATGCAAGGAGAGAGAAGGAGATACAATGTGTCTCTCTCCTCCATTCAGAGAGAAAAAAAAAACAGGGGGGGGGGGGGGGGGGGGGGGGGGGGGCGGTCTGTACAGTGACTGATCACTGTGATAGCCAATCAGAAGTTATCACAGCGATCATGTGACACGGAATCGGGAGTCCCGGGTCCCAATCGTTAGAACGAGACCAGGGGCTCTCAGTGACACCGGCGCGCTCCCAGCACAAAGACAGGTACGCAAATATACGGCCCTACGGAAAAAAGCCCAGTTACGTGAGGCCGCATATTGTGATACATCGGCGTGAAGGTGTTAAAGTGCATCTTTGTGGTAGAATTTGGAGGAAGTAGCCAACTGCTCTTTGTTAACCACTCTGATAAATGACACCAAGGGGTTGATTTACTAAAGCTGGAGAATCCAATATCTGGTGCAGCTGTGCATGGTAGTCATACAGCTTCTAACTTCAGCTTGTTCAATTAAGCTTTGACAAAAAGAAAAAAGGAAGTCGATGAAATGCAGATTTGCCCTATTATAAATCACACTTGATTGCATTTAATCACGATTCATTAATTAAATTATCTGCTGTTTAAAGAATTTGTATTGCCATATGCAGGGAAAAAGAAAATAGCCAATTGATAGAAAAGATGAGGATGTTCTAGTTTGCTAAACTGAAATGTATCTTTCAAATCTGAAAAAAGCTTTTTACCAGTCAGTTTTTCTAACATATTGTAAAAATATTTACATGACGTGATAGAAACAATATCCTCCTGAGAAAATAATCATTTTTCAAAATGATTCATGCAAAACTGTTCTCCAAAAAATGGAGTTCGGTTTTAAATATAGATATATCTGCCACTTAACGCTCCTGATAACAAATGTCCCAGATACCTATGACAAAGTGATTTTACATTGGATCTATGGACACATTGTTTTATTTTTAAGCTCACCACATATTATGATATAATTTTATTTTTATCCACCAACAACTATTTAGTCAGTGGCCTGATGTTGATTGGTTTCTATGCAGAGCCGCACCAAATTTTGCATTCTCCAATTTTATTAAATCAATCCCATAGTTCTGTCAAGTTTTTATTGATTTCTGGAGGAGATTCCTCCATCAGGCTAACAGCGTAGATGGCCAAATCCCCCTTGTCAGGTTTATGTATTCTGACAGCTGGCGCTGCTGGCTGTCAGAATACCTGAAAAGTGCCAGCATCTGATTGGATGCATGTGCTGATTGACTGAAAATTTTCTGACAGGCTCCTTCACTAAAGTCGTTTGAATGTTTGACTTTTTAAAATGGTGCCAGAAGGGCCAAACATCGCTTGAATTGCATCTGAGCCAGCAGAAATCAGCTTGACTTTCAGGTGTTGAGGACCCCCTGACAATATTATCATATCTACAGCTCATGATATATTAGTGTGAACAGTAAGTTGTAATATAAGAATACATTTTTTAAAAAAGTAATGTTATGTACTTAGCATATTAAACACCGAAGGTTGCTCTATACAACAAAATTATATTTAGCAAATTAATAAATGAAACTGAGACATTAATGCAAGGAAATAAAGCAGACAGCGAAACTATGGTATTCGAATCACATTGGTGGTTAGGGGAGAAATGTCCACTTATGTTGGTAGTCAGTGGAAAAGTGCCCATTTACATTGGGAGGCAGTGTCTTACATCAGCAGCCAGTGAAATGCTTCCCAACATTGGTGATCAATGGAGAAGGTCCCTCCTAGATTGGTGGTCAGTGAAAGAAGGACCCTGTTACTTTGGTGGTCAGTGGAAAAAGAACCTTATTACATTGGTAGTTAGGAGTAAAGAGCTCCTTTCCTTAGACTGGTGGTCAGTGAAAGAAGGCCTCCCTTACATTGGTGGCCAGGGGAGCAGGACCTCCTTAGATTTGTGGACAATTGGAGGCTGGTTAAGAGGATAGATTTTACATCTGTATATAAATTGTCATGCACAGAAGGTGATCTTTCTAGTAAAATCAAATACCTTCTTTTCCTCATTGTGGGTATAGTATATGAAGAGGATGCTGTCCCTTGAGCCATCGGTTGCTGTCATCTGTTCAAGAGCAACTCTCACATCGATCCATTTATTTGGCTTCCACTCCCTCCACCACTGCAGGGATCCTGTTTTAACCCACACAGGCTGGAAAAAAACAGAGATTTTAGTAAAGTAAAATAGAAAATAAATCTATAAATACAACATGAAAATTAGGCCTTGTAATGGTGGAATTAAACAGATGGAGCTTGGAATCTAGGTACATAGACCTGTTGCCAGAGTACCTAAGAAATACAAAAGAGCAACCTTACAAAATCTGCCCCAAAAAACTAACATTCTTTGGCGGAATAACCTTATAAATGGGTTTTCTGGACTTACCCCTCTCAGTACAAAAACCCTTCACTGTAACCACAATAAGACCAGTGGGGCAAAGATACCAAGATCTTTGTAGGCCATCATTGTTCTGGTAGGGGACAGTGGAAGTCATACATTGCAAATAACACACACGCACTCCATCTTTCAGCATGCGCAATGTTTTCTCTTTGCACCCCCCCCCCCTCCCCTTCCCTTCCTGTTTTTTCTTTTATTATGTAATTGAGTAGTCTGCTTTCTCGTTTAGTGAAAAACATTAAAAGGGGGTTGTTAAGTAAGGTTTTATTTTAGAATTTAGTAAATGGATAATTATATGGGATAAGGTAAATTGACTTAAGTAAATGTATTTATATGTTTCTACACCATTAACATATTATTGTATGATACAATGTTCCTGAATTATGTTTGAATTCTTTCAGTTAAATGCAAAAATTATTTGTACAGCATAAATGGATTGTACAGTACCTGCTCTACAGCCTGCTCATAATGTCGAAAGCTATCAAGCTCTCTCCTGGTGCGTTCACTGAGCTGATCGAAAATCTGCTTCCTCCATACAGCAGTATTGGCTGGGGTAATGGAGAGTGACTGCATGCTGACCGACAAACCTAGTGCAGTAAAAAGAGCGGTGTAAGAGAAATCGGTAAGGAAACTGGTCAAGACAAAATGCAAAATTCCCTTCATGAAAATAATAGCCTATACGTGCAGTTTAAGTGGTATATAAAAGTCAGCTGCACCTACTTAAGCTGTACACACTTATCTTAATTATTAAAATAATTATAGAAGCAATATAAGGTAATCTCTTTCACACATTGCAGCATGTATAGCATGAAAAAGGCATCTATTTCCAAAAAAGATATTCATTTCTATGCACACAACCACTTCCAGTGACTGTGGATAGGCAACAGCCTACACTTACCATTTTTCAGCTGTTAATTGCTTAATTGGACAACTGTGTTAGTTTGTGTCTGGTGGCTTTATGAAAAATAAGCAGGCTATATTTTCATCAAAGAAAGTGTTTCTAATGACCCCCAGACAGCTAAAAAGACACCCTGACACCCAAGAATGTTCTATTGAATAGGAACACATTGCATCTAAAAATCTCACATCATGCAAAATATAATAAAGAAACGCGTGCGGCGCTCCAGCACAGCAATTAACCACTCTGGTCAGTATGTGAACTTATATACAGCCAACTGTTATCCAACTATGTGTGTATCAATAAAATACAAAAAACATATGTGCAACAACTCAAACAATAATAAAGTCATTAACAAAAAGAAAAATAGTCCCAAAGAAAAGAAAAGTCCCAAACTCCTGTAATGAAACAAACTGCAATATGTGCTTCTCTTTTCTTTAAAAGGAAATCTCCAACTTCAAACATTAACTACCTCCTCTCATGTGTGATAGCTAAACACTTACCCTCATTTATTGACCTCTTAACTTATAGGAGGTCATAAATCACATCAAAAGGGTAGCATGAACTTCTTATAGCCCGCCACCATGGAAGATACCACAAGCTACTTCTCCTCCAGGTCAGAAAGCACTCCAAATCCTATTATGATCCTATTTAGGCTGCGTGAGCTCATAAACAAAGAAAGGCACACCATGCTCTCTTATTAATTAGAGAAAAAGACTGCACTCACATATAAACTGGTAGTAAACATCTTCAATCTAAACAGTGTAGATCACTTGGCATCCACTATTATTATTATTATTATACAGTATTTATATAGCGCCAAAAGGTATGCTCAGCGCTGTACAGTAGCAAGGGGGACAGAACATGAGACAAGACAGTAACAATACACTACACAAGGGGTTCGAGGGCCATGCTCTTTCCAGCTTACAATCTAGAAGGGAGGGGAAGGTGGTACAGGAGGAGATGGCTGTGGGGGATGGAGTGGGGGGGAGGAGTGGAGGAGGTTAGTTGTTAGGTGAGGTCAGGTGTTAGGTGAGGTTGGGGTAGGCTTCCCTGAAGAGGAGGGTTTTCAGGGTGCGCCCGAAGGTGAGGAGGGTAGGTGACAGTCTGATGGATTGGGATAGGGAGTTCCAGAGGATGGGGGAAGTCCTGGAGAAGTCCTGCAATCGGGCGTGGGAGGAGGAGACCAGGGAGCTAGAGAGTAGGAGGTCCTGTGAGGAGCGGAGGGCACGGGTAGGGTAGTATCTGGGTATCAGGTCAGTTATGTAGTTCGGGTCGTCATTGTGAATGGCTTTGTAGGTCAGTTAGCAGGTTGAATTTGATGCGTTGGGCAATCGGGAGCCAATGAAGGGATTGGCAGAGGGGGAGGCAGATGTGGAGCGCTTGGTGAGGTGGATGAGTCTAGCTGCTGAGTGTAGGATCGACTGGAGTGGGGATAGTGTTCATTTGGGTAGGCCAGTGAGAAGGGAGCTGCAATAGTCCAGGCATGAGATGATGAGGGAGTGTATGAGTTGTTTGGTGGTGTCTGGGGTGAGGAATGTGCGTATCTTGGAGATGTTGCGGAGGTGGAGCCTGCAAGATCTAGATAGCAGTTGGATGTGAGGGGGTAGGAAGGAGAGGTGGGAGTCCAGGGTGACACCCAGGACTTTGGCGTGTGGGGTGGGAGAGATGGTGGCGTAGTTTGTAGTGAGTGGAGAGGGATGGGGGGGGGGGGGGGGTGGGGGGAAGACCAGGAGCTCAGTTTTGGATAGGTTAAGTTTGAGGAAATGGAGCGACATCCAGTCTGATATGTCGTTTAGGAGGTGGGCGATGTGGGCAGAGAGTGGAGGGGGTGAGGTTGGGGGTGGAGAGGTAAATTTGGGTGTCGTCGGCATAGAGGTGGTAATTGAAGCCATGGGAGTGAATAAGTTTGCCAAGGGAGGAGGTATAGATGGAGAAGAGGAGGGGCCGAGGACAGAGCCTTGGGGGACCCCGACAGAGAGGGAGGGGGAGGTGGCAGTGTTGTAGGTGACGCTGAAGGAGCTAGTTCTAGAACGAGCAGTACTGGCTGGCTCTATCTAGAATTTATCACTTTTCACTGCATAGTGACATTTTTCATCTTTTAACATCAAAGAGTTCAGAGAAGGAACCCAAAAAATAGTTGTGAAACAAGAAACCAACAAGAAACCAAAATACACAAAATTACCTATGATAAAAGAAACACCAACATCCAAGAACTTACACATAATACAAGTGGCAATGTCACCCAGGAGATAACCCATTAAAACAGCAATACAGGCAAGAAGCTTAACACGAATGTCTAGTACACACTATGAGAAAAGCGGACAAACGATTGTCCAGTTTTCAAGAAAGCTGCATATCATGATGTAAATGACAACAGTATTAACATGTACGAAAATTCTCAAACCGACAAAGGCAAACATAGCAACACTAGCATAGTAGAAGAGGAAGTTTAGGGCTGTTTTTTGCTTCTGATCATGCACATTTTTTCCATAAGATTACTGTACACATTGAAAAAAAAAAAATCAGATGCTGTATTCACATACAATAAAGATTTTCTAGCTTGCACCGTTGGTTTTTGTAATCTGAACAGTCAGAATCGGCTGTCTAAAGCACTATACTAACAATCAGATAATCGATTGATCATTCCTCAAACAGAAATTTTTATATTTTTTTTTATCATGTGTATGGGCTATAGTTGGAATACAGATCTGTGCATGGCTTTAACATCCAGTGAATTTTTAAGTGTTTTCAGCCACTTTTGAGATTCATTCACTCCTACTAGGCAGCATAGCCAGGTCCCTGGTCTCCCTTTTCTTCACTATAGTTAAAGAAATACAAAATGCTGAAGGACATGCTCAAGCCTGCAATTAAAAATTAAGGAAACAACAACAGCACACTTATGAGGTCATCCAATTACTCTCTCCTATCAGTAAGCTCTCTATGTTATTTCACCGACACCATGCCAGATCTGCATACATTGCTGCCCCCTCCCTTGCCTGGGTGAGTCATTCTCTGCAGGGATTAAGGGAAGATTATATAGAAGCAGACTTCGCTATCAGTTACAATCATTTAAAGGAACTTTGTCATCCAAGGGACTACCCATCCAGTAACTTCAAAATCCAATGGAGTGAGAAGTACTGACATTCAGAAAACTTTTCAATTAAAGGCTACAAAAAAATAAAGCATTAAAAAGGAAAAAACAATACTTTGGACATCTGCCTCTGTCCAGTTCCTGGAGGCGCTGGTGACATCACTGTGTGTCACTTGCAGGAAAGCTGCCAGGAAGTGGACAGAAGCCAGATTCTGAGGAAAGCATTTTTTATATTTTGAAGCATTTTTTATTTGTGTGGTGGGGCTGTCAACAAAGTGGAACTTACATTTTCATGCAAGGTCCACTTTAGAGGTCATGAAAAATCCTCAAATTAGCCTTAAACCAAGAAGTGGTGCCAACTAAGTAACCATCAAAGAAACAAGGGACCTAGATGCTCAGTAAAATCACATATAAAGCAGGCAATTTGACACAAAAAAAAAAATGCTACATGGTTGAAGATAAATCTAAAGGAGATTTTACAAGACCATTATAATGTACTGGCCATCTTTTGATTATCAGGCAGATCCTATTATCTAACAAATGGATAAAGTTATTCTGGAAAACAATAAAAGTATATATAAAAAAAAAATATCCACCTGTTGGACGAGAGAACCATTTCAAGGGAGTAACGGAATCAACCAAGCAGCCTCCTCCAGACACCCAGGTCCATAAGGGATATAAATCATTTGCAAAAGGTTCCTCAGCTCCTGTGGAGAAAGGCTCCAATAATGATAGGTTGGGTTTGTCATCAGAAGGTTGGAGTGCATTAATTTTAGCCTCTGCCAGATCAATACTGCTCCACTGGGGAGCCCTGGTCATCGTGGAATTTGGGGAAGGTTCAATGGGTGATTCGGTATTTGGGCTGGTTCCTTCATGGGGGTCAGTAGAGGGAACTGTGCTTGGTTTTTCAGTCTGTTTGTTGGGAATTGGAATTGTGACCTCCTTGACTTCGGATGTGTTGAGCTTCAGTTCCTGTGTAAGAGTGTGTTCCGCATCGGAGTCTACATCTGATGGGATGGTGGAATCAGACTGATCTTTGACTTCATCTCCGAAAAAACAGCCAGCACTAAAATATTAAACAAATCAATCACTTCCTGTAGCCAAAATTTTAACACACAGCCCAATCTAAATAAATGCACAGTGAACTATTTTGTGCAAAGTTTTTGTCCATCAGGCTAACTTGCTAGTCAATCTGTGCTTGTCTGTCTGTATTTTTGTACAGTCATAGCTATACACATAATAAAATCTTTGATACAACAATGGTTTAATGAAAGAACTGCCTCGTTCAAAAGCTGATTGCATTAAAGTGGTTGTAAAGGCTAAAGATTTTTTTTACCTTTATGCATTCTATGCATGAAGGTAAAAAAAACCTTCTCTGTACAACATACCCCCCAGCCCCCCCAATACTCACTTAAGCCCCCTCTTGATCCAAAGATGTGCACTGGAGTCTTGGCTATTCCGGGACTCCCTCTTCTCATTGGCTAAGGCAATCACAGTCAGTGAGCCAACGAGAAAAGAGGAGGGGTGGGGCAGAGCCATGGCTCCATGTTTGAGTGGATGCACAGAGCAGCAGCTGGAGAGTGCGCATGTTCAGGTGCCCCCATAGCAAGCTGCTTGCGGTGTGTGGAACCCTACAGGAGTACGGGGTCAGGAGTGCCGGCAGAGGGCCTGAGAAAAAGGATCGGGGCTGCTCTGTGCAAAACCACTGCACAGTGCAGGCAAGTATAACATGTTTGTTTTTTGTTATTTTTTTTTTAAATCTAAGCCTTTAGAATCACTTTATATAAACTTTTCAAAATGTGCAATAAGTACATTCTTTGATGCCTAGCCTTTTTGTAAAGTGAAACAGTTCACATTTTGTGCATAACACAGGCAGAGAGTTCCCCACCCTCTATTATACTAAAGATTGAGACACAACCTAATACATTTATAAAACCTTAACTTGCAATATAAAACTACTCTAAGGTCTTGTACACTAACCAATGAAATAATTTATTTCTTCTGAAGAAGCAGGTACATTTAGAGTAAGTGGCTCCCCTTGAACAGTGACTGCACATAGTTAAAGCAACATTAAACCTCTTCTTTTTTTTTTTCTTTTTTTTTTTTTAACAAACATGTCATGTAATACATACCTGTCTGTGCAATAGTATTGCACTGAGCAGCCTGAATCCTTCTCTTCTGGGGTCCCACACTGACGATCCAGGACCTTCCTCCGTGGCGGGTGCCACCATGGACAGACGCTTTCCATGGGGGCTTTCCATGGGGGCAGCTGTGTGGGCTTGCTCCCGTGCAGCCCTGTCTGCGTTCATGTACACAAAGTGGGTGGCTCAGGTCCGCTTCCTGCTGGCTGGCTCGGTGCAGTATTTAATTGACAGCAGCAGGAGCCAATGGTTCCCGCTGCTATCAATCTGCGCAGAGAGGAGGGAGATGGCGGCGAGAGCCGCTGCGCTCGTGCACATCGCTAGATCAGATCAGGCACAGGTAAGAATAAAGGGGGGGCTGGGGGGAAACAGCAGCATGGAAGGTTCTTCACCTTAATGCATAGAAGGTGATGCATAGCATTAAGGTGAAAACCCTTAAAAGTGTTACTAAACCCAGGACCCTGCATTCACTATCTGGTCTCCCACAGTACACACAACATGGAAATACAATTATTTTAGTAAATATAAACTGCTAAATACCTTTTCTCAGCAGCAGTTAGAGCAGTCTTGTGACTTCTTTCAGTGTTCAGCTTGTAGAAGTTTTCTTTCTGCTCTAGGAGGATGCAAAACCACTGACCTCTGTGTGGACTGAGCTGATTGGCCCTGTGCTGATCACATGCACTCTCCCAAGAAAAAAAAAATAACCTCTCTAGCAATACACACCAAATTGAGCATGTGCAGATTGTCGCCACAAGATATGTTTTATCAGAAGATAACTGCCAGAAGGGGGGAGGATCAGAGAAGTCAGGATCAAACAGCCTTTTTACACAATGCAGAGGATTAACCCCCTAGGTTCCACAGTGAGTATATCAAGCATGCTTTAATGAATATACAGACTGATTTTATTGTTGTGGGTTTAGTAACACTTCAAGGCTTTAGAACCACTTTAAGGCTAAATTTGTGTCTTTACTTTGAAAATGCACTTTCGGTGGCTAGAGGCCACACATGGACAGTTGTCATTAAAGCATTATAAGTGCTTCAGAGTATTACTATTCCACTTAAGTTATCAAGTGTTTTATGGGCTAACAACATGGGAAAATGTTATAATGTTACAGGGCTGCAACAGGCAGTTGATATGCTTCCAGATGATAAATACATGAATGTGTATCTATTTCAGCAGAAAAGTATGCTCTTAAAGTGTGTTAACGTCTACGTTTTTTTTCTTAAAATAAAACATCTGATATACCTACATTCTCTGTGCAATGATATTGCACAGAACGATTTCTTCTCCTTTTCTTTAGTGGTCCCCCACCTGCTCTCTCCACTCCTCCTCCCTTTCAAGTGCCCCCTAGCGAGCCCTGTGCTTAGGGCACCCATGTGGGCATGCTCCCAAGCCAGGGTGGGTATCTATAGATGCACAGCAATGCTTGGCCCTGCCTTCCACTCCCTCCTCTCAGTATTTGACTGACAGCAGCAGGAGCCTATGACTCAGTGAAGCCTGTGAATCCAGGAAGAGTGGAGGTAAAAAACACCATAACTGCCCAGCCTATCCATAGCTGATGCAGTGTTTTCATCCACCAGCACTGACGATTCCAAAACAAGAGATGGAAGACTTTAGATGAAAAAGGAGGTGATGGTGGGGCCTCAAAGTGAATCATGGCCAACTTGAAAATCTACCTCAGGAAGTCTAAATGCTCACATTTCTCCAGTTATCCTAACAATATCCAATATGTCCAGGTGTTCCACAAAAAAGGAACCGCAAAAAAAAAAAAAATATATATAAATACATTGTGCCTCCCCCCCAATCTATAAAACAACAATGTAACAAATGAGGGCCTCCAAGGTAAAACTGGAAAACCATATACAGCCCCATGATCACCAGGTGAATACCAACGGTCTAGAATCTTCAGATTTTCATATGCAGATAGAAAACTTTGTTCCACTGAAAGTATCACAGAGAAAATAAGTTATTACCTTAGTAAGCTGGAGACACTTCCAGAGTTCGACCTTTCATTTTCCCGACTGACCACAATAGCTTTCCACATTTTACCACTAAGCTCACTCGGGGTGACTCCTTGGCGGAAATACACTACTCTGTCTTCATATCCAATTCCCCAGACCTGAAGGAGATTCAAGACAGTTACAGCACTTGTATGAGAATGTCTAGACAATAAGTGTATTCCATGCTGATCTTGTATATAGGTACCTGATCATTCAGTCCCACACTCAACATAGCCATTTCCCCCACCATCTCAATCCAGCTAGTGCCACAGGGGTTGTGTGAGTTAACACCCCTTCTGAACCATACCTGGATGGGAATAAATCAACAGATCTGATGTTAACAAATAGTTATGACAACAGTAGATCAATATAATTACTATTGTGCATGGTGGCAATGCCCATTTACAAGGTTAAAGCAAACTAGTCTCTTATATAAAGATACTGCTGGACTAATATAAAGGCACATATCTTCTTGCAAGCCTCGGGAGCTCATAAATTCTGGGTGTTTTAATATGCAAATTGGTGATAATATGCTGATTGAGATCTGGCAAAGTCACAAAGTTAACCAGCCCCCCCCATGAACCTTCATGCACCAGTAAGACTACCCATCATAGAGTCCAGGAAGTAGGATAGTCAAATCAGCAATTATCGTTTCTAGAAGTCCTGATATTTTCTTACTGAGGCATCTCAGAATTTGGGGCTTTTGGGGGCACTAGGCACTGCTCGACACCTGCATTGTAGTCCTACAACCAGTTCAGACTTTTTGTACTCATTCCATCACATATCCAGATACAAAGATGATTTCTTACAATATTTCAGGGTAATGGGTGGAGACATGCAAATCATTTCTTTTACCAGTGGCCAACTATACATCCAGAACCACTGTTGTAATATAATGATACATCTAAATATTACAGAACCATTTATCCCACACTGCATACAGCTGTTTCAGGTCTGTTGGCCATAAACAGAGTAGTTTATGGAAACAATGGCTCCTATGAAGAAAGGTATTTGAAGCAATGAGAAAGTATAACCCTGACAACTGTGGTGATTAGTGTTTAAAGGAACCAAAAAAATCCATCCAAAGACCTATTGTGTAGGACAGAAGAGCTGTTGTAAGAAGGCTCTACTGTTCTGTGCACTGGTTCAGCAGGGGCTTTTAAATTCATTTAGTCCCCTAACCTTCTGAGTTATTTCCTGGTTGATCCTGCTGTTCTCTATCTCTCCTTCTATCCATGTCCCCACTGCACTTGGAGATTTTGCAGAGCAGTGTTGGCAGCTAGCACACACAATCAATTTTCAGTTTATTTCTACCCTGAACAATCCCTCCCTATCCCTATCTGAGCAGCCCATGTAACTATAGAGCCTGTCACTATCAGAAATCTGCCCGCACCACGCTATTGGTAAAAAATAATTGAGATTTGCTTTTAAATTATATATGTGTATGACAAATTCAAACAGTTTGATATTTTTTTTACTCCTGGCTCCGGCTATTTTTTTTTTTTTTTTTTTTTTTGAACACGTGACCACTAGTAGAGGACTAGAAGCTCCTACTGCCACTGTTTCTCTGCAGACAGATGAGGTCATGTGACAGCTGTATATTGATTAGGAAAAAAAAGATACTTAGATGCTTTTTTTCATTAAAATAATAATTACAGTGCCATCATCCACATAAGAAAGAGAAGGGTTAGTGTAAATTAAACAGTGTATTTAGTATCACTTTATTGTAGGATTTTATTTAATCTCTTTGTAGCATGAAAGAAAAACATAAAAAGGTAGCCATAGGGGTAGATTTACTAAAACTGGAGCATGCAGAATCTGGTGCAGCTGTGCATGGTAGCCAACCAGCTTCTAACTTCAGCTTGTTCAGTTAAGTGTTGGTAATAAAACCTGGAAGCTGATTGGTTTATATGCAGAGTTACACCAGATTTTGCGCTCTCCAATTTTAGTAAATAACCCCCACTACCTCTACGGTGCTCGATCAGAAAAGATTAAACGCTATGAGTTGTATAGGGATAGAGGTGATCCTTGCTATATCCTACATCATAACAATATATTATAATGAAACAACAATAATAAGAGAGTGTTTAAATCAGTTAATACATATACAGTTGTGTTCAAAATAATAGCAGTCAGACATCACTAACCTGATCAATCACTGTTTTTGGTAGAAATTATATTTCTACATGGCAAATAATTTACTAGCAGGTGTAGTAGAGTAATAGAAATCCAACAGACCCAACAGTCATGACATGCATGCTGCTGATTCTGTGTAATTGAATCACTAATTGAAAGGGGCATGTTCAAAATAATAGCAGTGTGGAGTTCTATTAGTGAGGTCATTCATTCTTTGAAACACAGGTGGCAATTATTGCCCTTATTTAAGGAAGGAAGGCAGCAAATGTTGTACATGCTGGTTACAGTGCATTTCTCTCTGAAATTCTGAGAAAAATGGGTCGCTCCAGACATTGTTCAGAAGAACAGCGTACCTTGATTAAAAAGTTGATTGGAGAGGGGAAAACATAGAAAGAAGGAGTGCAGAAAATGATAGGCTGCTCAGCTAAAATGATTGCAAATGCTTTAAAATGGCAACAAAAACCTGAAAGACATGGAAGAAAGCGAAAAACTACCATTTGAATGGATAGAAGAATAGCCAAAATGGCAAGGACTCAGCCAACAATCAGCTCCAGGAAGATCAAAGAAGGTGTAAAGTTACCTGTGAGTACTGTTACAATTAGAAGACACCTATGTGAAGCCAAGCTATCTGCAAGAAGCCCCCTGCAAAGTCCCACTGTTGAAGAAAAGACGTGCTGAAGAGGTTACAATTTGCCAAAGAGCACATTGACTGGCCTAAAGAGAAATGGCGCAACATTTTGTGGACTGATGAAAGTAAGATTGTTCTTTTTGGGTCTAGTGGCCGGAGACAGTTTGTCAGACGACCCCCAAACACTGAATTCAAGCCACAGTACACTGTGAAGACAGTGAAGCATGGCTGCGTACACATCATGATATGGGGATGTTTCTCATACTACGGTGTTGGGCCTATTTATCGCATTCCAGAGATCATGGATCAGTTTGAATACATCAGAATACTTGAAGAGGTCATGCTGCCTTATGCTGAAGAGGAAATGCCCTTGAAATGGGTGTTCCAACAAGACAACAACCCCAAACACACCAGTAAACGTGCAACATCTTGGTTCCAGACCAACAAGATTGACGTTATGGAGTGGCCAGCCCAATCTCCGGACCTTAATCCAACAGAAAACTTGAGGGGTGACATCAAAAATGCAGTTTTTGAGGCAAAACCAAGAAATAGAGAAGAACTGTGGAATGTAGTCCAATCATCCTGGGCTGGAATGCCTGTTCACAGGTGCCAGAAGTTGGTTGACTCCATGCAACACAGATGTACAGCAGTTCTCAGAAACAGTGCTTATACAACGAAATATTCATTAAGTGATTCAAAGGAAAGCAAAATCTTCAAACATTTTTCAGTTTATATAGTGAATGTTTGAGTTTGTAAAGAAGAATACAAACACTGCTATTTTTTTGAACAGTCTAATATTCACTTTTCTTTTTAGAGGAACAACACAAATTTGATATATTTTTCTTCATGTTTTGATTTGGAATGGAATGTGTAGTGTTCCCAATGCATTTGTGTGTATGGAAATAAAAGCTATTAGAAGGATTTTGAGCTTTATTCCCTTTTTTCAACACACTGCTATTATTTTGAACACAACTGTACATATTTGTGTCTTAGATTAAGGTCTATCATATTAGACATGGCTATTCTTGCTAGCATATTTTGATAAGCTGATATATATATAAAATCATATTCCATTAGCAGCTAAATGGCTTCTGCTACTAAAAAGGCTTTTTAACCACTTCCCGACCGGCCGTTGTATATAAAACGGCCATCGGACGGTGGCACTGCAGGGTCGGGTGGCCGTCAATAAACGGCCTCCCCGCACCCTGCTTGTGCGCGCTCCCTGGGAGCGCGCAGCACCGCGATCCGGTGCCCGCTGTGTCCTCCGGACACAGTGAAACACCGATCGTCGGACGGGACCTCTGTACGAGGTCCCGATCATGTGATCACTGATTGGCCAATCAGTGATCACATGCAAAGTAGTAAGCAAGATGTCACTTGTGACATCATTGCTTACTACGTGTGAAATCTGTGAATGATCACAGAGGTCACATGGTACAAGGCTATTCACAAAAGCCTTGTACCATGTGACAAGCTGTGACCAATCACAGCTCACTCAGTTCTTCTCAATGAGTGCATGAATGCACACAGAGAGAAAGAGAAATGATTGCTTTTACATCCTATATGGGTGTAAAAGCAATCAGTGTAAAAAAAAAAAAAAAAAAAAATCTTCATCACCCCTCACAAGTAGTAAAGTGTCACCATGGTGACACTGTACTGCTAGGGTGACAGTATAAAAAATAAAAATAAAAAATAATAATATAAAAAAAAAAATAAAAATGTAAAAAAAAATGTTTAAAAATTATAATTTTTGCTTATAAACTAATTTGGATTTTTTTTTTTTTTACTAAAAAGATAACGGAATAAATTTTGGCTAAGATTTATGATGAAATATTATTTATTTGCAAAGTTTTATAAAAAAAAACACTTTTTTTCAAAATTTTTGGACATTTCATTTACATAGCAAAAAAAATACAAATCCCAGTGGTGAATAAATACCACCAAAATAAAGCTTTATCTATCTCAAAAAAATGGTAAAAAATTCATTTGGGTACAGTGTTGCATGACCGCGCAATTGTCATTCAAAGTGTGATAGCGCTAAAAGCTGAAAATTGCCCTGGTCAGGAAGGGGGTAAAAGTGTCCGGTCTGGAAGTGGTTAAATGATGTTTTTGTAAGTTGTAAAAGACTGCTGAGTAATGATGAATGTTTGATAAAGTGTCTCAATAAGATGTTAAGACACATATTCTGAAGTGTAAACTAAGCATAAAAGGTGGACAGCCAGCCATAAAGAACGCTATAAAAATGTGGACTGCAATCAATCTAATCAGAGCATCTGATGGGCAGGGCATGGGTGCTCTCATACAGCTGTATTATCAATAAATATATTATTTAGAGCTCCTGTCTGCCAGGTTGTTCATTTCAGATTTAAAGCCGTGAAAACCCTATACATTTCTTGGTGCCTTTGACCCGTATCATCGCTGAAGCCAGGATCACTGCAGCCTATACACATCTCAACTACAGACAAGCAAGGCCTAACAAGTGAGCTTATTTCTCACATAAAAAAACTTGCCTGTGCTTGGGGAATGGAGAGGAGGCAGGTCAT